GGCGACTAAATATAACCTTAACAAAAACACCAAAAAGGATTTATTATTATTGTACTTTATTTTATATGAGTTATGAAGCTGGTTCGAAAAGAAAGTATGAAAAAAATAACATCTTTATAAAACCATATTTGGAAGACTAAAGCTATAAAAAAAAGCAACCAGTAGAGCTGAACAATTTTTATTGTAGTTTAAATTTCACATGCTAACAGTTCTTGTATATGCGTATATTTGACTTTAATAGCTCGAAAACAGGACCTTCAACTCCTTAAGGAGCCTTGGTTGGCGCCTTGGGTTGCGCGTTGACTGAAGCCAAGGCGAGGACTGCAACAATGAGGACTCCGAATGCAAACTTCATGATGCTAATTACAGGTGCGGTATACTCGTACTATATAACAACATATTCGTGTTGTGTCGCCTTTTTATACAATTTTCCGGACTTGTTATGTAAGCGTGTCAAATAAATAAGTGCTTTCCGTTCCGTTTACTGTAAAAGGTTACTTGTATAACTTGAAATGTAAATGTCAAATAACGCATTTGTGCAAATATGTAGATACCCAGCTATGCAGGTCTTAGTTAGGTCTTAATTCAGGCTGAATTGATGTTATTCATATATTTATATACATACAAGTATGTCATTGCATTGTTTGTAGCGTACATTAAACTGTAGCTCTGTATAAAAGTAGATTCTGAAAAAGGACTCTTATGAATGAATATAAATTGAAATGGAATATCGTTGGCAAGTGGTCTGTTTTTTAAAGGATCTGTTAGGCTTCATTATATCATATTTATATAACTTTCGTTTCTTACTAGAGCGTGCCGAACTTCGTTATTATATATGCAGAAGGAATCAATTTGTTATTGTTATTGGACACATTGTTAGAATATTATTTACGACCTAAATCAGTTAGTTATAGTTGTATAATATAGTTGCATAATAGTTCGACTTGAAACACTGGGTTAGTTACAGCTTTAATTAGGGCCGAAATCAGTTAGTTGTAGTTGCACAATATAGTTCGATAATATAGTTTTATTAGAAACAAAAACGTATAAAAGGGGTACCTAGCAGAATTGAGGATCTACCTGATCTCACACACCTACAAACGTCAAAATGAAATTCGCATTCGGTACCTCGTCAGTCAATGCAGTCATTACAAAGGCACGAAAGCGCTACGAACCTCAACGAAGTAAAAGGATAGTAAAATAAGTTGAAGGATCTTTTTGTGACCAATAATTATTTATATGTAGTCTGAAAATAAATATATATAATTTCTGAAATAAGCAATATTTTTAAAATTTTGATTTTATTTCCGCTTATTTAGTCTTGAGTTCGAGGGGTTTATAGTTGATCCCATTATGAATTCATTATTCAGCTATGTTTGACTGTCGTCTATCTGTTCTTCTATGTGAACACAAGGTCCTCAGAATGAATAAGGGAGCATAAAATACCTAAGCCCAAGCCGTTGTTTTTATTTCCAGGCATTCTGCATGCATAAGACTGTCCAAAATATGTTTCCGTTGTCATTTGTTATATGAAATGCGTTAATTTTGTAAGCATCACGAGTCGAGTCTTTGCAAACATATCCATTTGTTCATCTGTGTGGCCATATGAACGTCGCGAGAATTTGAATTTCTTGGATGTAGTTGATTATCACAATTGTTTATAGTTTAGTTTATTTTGTTATAGATTGAATGAATTTTGATTTAAAAATAATAGAATATTTGTTTTTTAGAAATCAAGAAATTAAAGAAGTTCGTTTTTAATATTGAAAATATTGACAGCACAATGATTGTCTCTAGGAAAACGTAAGAATGATGATGGCAACCTTTGTAGTGAGAACTGAGAATTAACATAATACCGTAGACCCTTTTATTAAAACTCATTTGCATATTTATCCTTCTCATATCAAATACATACACACGTATGAAGAGTTTGAAATATGTAACCATAATAATATATTATTAGATAAACTATGTAGGACACATAAAGAAATCAATATAATATAGTCATAAAAAAAAACAATATGTGTAAATTTGTAGACTCTGGACGATCGATTTTATATTTAATGATAGTCTCGTGGGTAATCCTGTGATCCAAGAAACACAAAAAGGAGGCTATGGATATCTTTTGTAGGGATGACGAAAGGTGGACGACAGTGGCCACTCAACTATAATCAAGGACCTAATCGAATCCATAAAAAGCGATGGAGGTATAGGGAAAGATGTCACGCCGGAAAGTTTAAAAAACACTTCAATTCAGTGACACAGCAACGCAAGCCGGATACGCTAGTTAGCTATAATTTGAACCCTTCTCCAAATGTGTTATTTGACATTTTCATTCCAAATTATTCAAGTAATCCGCTGGTAACGGATTTCCTCTTCAGAACGTCATGGCTTACGTAAAATATATTTTTACCAATTTTACCATGAAATCAATTTAGGAAACCTTTTACAGTAAACGGAACGGAACGGAAAGCACTTATTTATTTGACACGCTTACATAACAAGTCCGGAAAATTGTATAAAAAGGCGACACAACACGAATATGTTGTTATATAGTACGAGTATACCGCACCTACAAGTATATTTAGCATCATGAAGTTTGCATTCGGAGTCGTCATTGTTGCAGTCCTCGCCTTGGCTTCAGTCAACGCGCAACCCAAGGCGCCAACCAAGGCTCCTTAAGGAGTTGAAGGTCCTGTTTTCGAGCTATTGAAGTCAAATATACGCATATACAAGAACTGTTAGCATGTGAAATTTAAACTACAATAAAAATTGTTCAGCTCTACTGGTTCCTTTTTTTTATAGCTTTAGTCTTCCAAATATGGTTTTATAAAGATGTTATTTTTTTCATACTTTCTTTTCGAACCAGCTTCATAACTCCTATAAAATAATAATAATAAATCCTTTTGGTGTATTTTTATTAAAAGTTTTTGTTAAGGTTATATTTTGTCGCCTTTTATCCAGCTTTTTATTTTTAATTATATTTTTGTTGTTGTTGGATTATGGCTTCTCTGATATACGAGTATGTATGTATCAAAAAGTATGTATGTTATGTTAATGAAGTCAAAATTAAAAAAATTATCTTGAAATTAAAAGAGTAATTTGGTGTAGACTATTATCCCATTTAATTTTGTTTCTGTTTCGTGTTTCTGTAGTTTTCTTATTAAAAAGCTTGTTTACACATTTTAGCATAACTCTTGACAGTTATCAGTCATAAAACTCGGCTTAATGGTGCCTGAGATATTAAGTTATTTTACTCAGCGACGTCTGGCAGTTTTATTTTATTTGCTTTTTATGTCCTCCATGGACGTGAGCCGTCTTCGACTGCTCTGAATACCAGCGTATGTTCAATTTTGTATGAAAATTGAGAACGTTGTGGTTCGCAAGTCCGACCTCATCGCTTTCTTGGGACAACATTTAATTTGTGTAAAGTCATTCCAATTTCTTAGATGATCAAATTTTGTGGAACATTTGGACTAGCCCTAGCAACAAAATTACAACATATCGACTTGAGTCCAAATATGGTGGGTAACCAATCAGTGACTAAGCAATACTTGGAAGTGTACAGAATTTATACCAACGGCTCTGCATTGAACGTTGCAATTTTTTTTGGCACAGAAACGATTAAATTAAAGCTCCTCGCGATTACTCGTAATTAACGACAAATGCCAAAAGTATCACAAATTTCAATGCCAAGGCCTGAAGCCACATGCTCGAAATACATAACTGAAAAGCCAATAGTCGCACTTTTGCTGTCAAATAATTCACAATAAAAATTAATACTTAAAGCATGCGCCGCACAAGAAATAATTCAACATCGTTGTCTTCTACATATACACATTTACGAGTATGTGTGTACATATGCATGCATGTACTTGTATTTTTGAATATTACTCGTGGCTATAGTCACCTTAGATGTCTTCAACAAGCAAATCATATACATATGTGCATAGTTGATTAGTGTAGATATCTACAATTTCAGCCAACAATCAATTGTCAGTCTTAATAAACATATTTATACTATGTTTCTAAATTTCACAAATAGTTTATATTTTCTTTTGATTGCTGACTTGTCTTGTTCTATAAAATTTCACATTTATTTAAATTAATCAGGGAGCCGGGTGCAGGCAAACATAAACATGAGATCATGCTTAAACAAATATGTTTGCACATTCAATTGTTAAAACTTTCAGCACTGAAATTTGTTAAGCAGAACAAAAATACCATATAAGATATGGCCTAATTATAAAAACTCATGCGTACGATGGTAAGGAAAAGAACAAATATGTACATAACAACTTGCGAATATTTTTTGTAGATAACTTTCTATATTTCTATCTACAAGTAGAAGTATACTTATACATGAAAAGTATAAATGTGTTGCAAAATTGACAAAGTTTTCTAATTGATAGCAAATATTGCAATAACAAATTTCTTTCAATATTTTGTGTACTCAAGTATTGGCCTTGAACTCAGATTGCAGCTTTTTATATACTCGTTTCGCCCTATCTATATCAAACATCTTGGAAAACACACTCATACTTGTATGTACATGCATTCAAATGTACCTTTGAGTGTGTGGCATTTATTCGTCATGCTAGCGCAGTCCAAAGTCACAATTAAAAATGACAAAATGTTGAATAAAATATACTCATCCCACTTGGATATGTGCGGGGCGTGGGTGTGAGGATCTCGTTTAACTGTTGCCTGGCCATACGTGACAATAATACGGTCGAATATTGGCCCTAAAATACCTGCCCACTACTTAACAGCTCACTTTTCTGGCACTGTCCAATAACAGTGGCTGTCGCGGCAACAGAGAGAGGCAGAGACAGAGAGAGAGAGAGAGTAAAGCTGACGTCTGCGTTGACGTTGACGTCGACACCAACACCTACAACAATGGCAACACTTGATCGGGGCCGCAGCAGCGGTAGCAACAGAAACGTTGGCTTTGTGGTGTCCAATATTTCTTACGGAATTCAGTCAGCAGCGGACCGCGATCAAAGTAACAACACAAGGAAGAACAAACCCGAATTGGCAAACTTATATATAATACGAACATATTTTAACGTATTTCTATATCAGATCAAAAATTAAGCATACAAGTAGTATTGCAATCATATTGATTCAATTGTGCAAGTGAACAAAAGTTAGTATTTGAAAATGCATTCAAACTGTTGTTGATCTAAAAGCACCATATAAAATATTTTTTGAATTAATTGATTTACAAAGATCGATTTAACTTTTAGTTTAAATAATTTATAAAAATGGCATAAAACAGTTGCGATTAATAAAAGTGCACAAGAAAGTGGACAAAGAAAAAATGTCCGTGTTTGAAAATATACAAAAATAATGATGTTGCTTAACTAGAATTTCGTATAAGTTTGAAATTGATGAATGTGTGGCTAAACTTGATAGCTAATTGCTTCAATAATTGAGTGTCTCCATAAAATAAATTTGATATTAAATTAATGCGCGCACCTTTATATTTTAATTCTAGCACCCCGAAAAATTTAGCATGTCCGCATTAAGATGCAATCTTTCTATTAGCAATTAATTTTGAAATAGTCAAGCCTAAATTAATTATCACTAAATTAAAAACGGGTTCAGCCTCAATCGTCCAATCAGTGAAAATAAAACCAAATTGGCCAAATGAGTATGTACATAATTAATAAAAAATGATTAGAAAAACGTTCGACGGGTGTTTGTTTGTTTGTTTGCTGATTGGGTTCTGTGAATCAGCACCTATTTATAGGACCAACAATTTTTAAGATTAAAAACTGTAAATAAAAATAAATATAAAATGTCGCCTCTAGACCTGAAGTCAAAAACAGGAAAACTATTCGAAGTGTTTATTTATCTTAAAGATTTGTTTGTTAAGTAATCATATCTCGTTCTAAAACCGAAACAAGTTTGCGACAATCGTCTCGATTATGCTCCGATTGTAAGTTTTTTTTTTATTTCTTCTCCAGGGAAAGGCGCCTGCTTCATAGGTCTTGAATCGCGTTTTTCGCTGTATGTGCGCAATTTTATTTTTATATCCAAAATTTTTTTCATTAATATTAACTGACGTCATCAGAATTTTTGAAAGTTAACTGTTAAATGCTTAGCTCCAACAAGCTTGTTCCAGCCAGCCAATAACTCAAAAAGCAAACGAGCAAGCAAGCGTACGAGCGCACGAGCATGGCATAAAATTTTTGATGAGCGTAAAATTTCGAAGGGTTTTTGTTTAAATTGTATTTATTTTTTGGACTCGCGGGTAAAAATTGTATTACCATACAATGCTCCTTCTCTAATTACTGAAGAATTAAATAAATAAATAAATAAAGCGAAACGCAAAAGCAACAAATTGGGAAGCGAACGAATCACAAACTTGTTTGCCAAATGATGACATTTTGTCTGCTTCTAAAATGTTTGCATGTTTTCTATTTACGCGATTATACCTCATGGCGAGTGCGTAATATAAATCAATTTGGCCATCAAAAACTATGCAAAATTTGCGGCCACTTTCCATATCTTATCGCCAAACTTCATATTTCGCAAAAAATTGCTTAAAAAAATACGCAAATAGTCGAATTTGAGTTTCCAACGAATTTTGATAACAGAAATGAATTATTTTCTCTCTCGTCCCCCTCCCCCACTGTATTTTCAGTTGTATTATCCAAATAGTGGAAGTAATGGCTGCCAAAGGCGCCGTACCTGTGTTGCTGTTGGCCACAGTGCTGAGCGCTGTCCAAGCCTTTGATCACACACTTCGACGAGACTTTCCGGGACCATACTGTGCTCAACAAAACACGTGCTGCCAAAGCCGCCACGATGGCTGTTCGCTGCCAATTTCAAGTGAGTCGAAAGCTGGCTTATACCAGCATACAAATAATATTCAAATTGCTTATACTTGTACAGATACCCTTTGCTATTGCGACGAGTTCTGCGACCGCAACGACTCCGGGGATTGCTGTCCCGACTACCGATCCTTTTGCTTTGGCGAGGCTGATCCACTGCTAAGCTGCGAGCACAACGGCGTCTACTTTCACAAATTCAACAACACGTGGGACAACTGCAATGAGTGTCGGTGTCTGGACGGCGGCGTAGTGCAGTGTGATCAGGATCTGTGTCTCACGGACGACGAGATCATTCATAGCGTGAACTCGATAAATGAGCTGGGCTGGTCGGCACGCAAGTATGACAAATGGTGGGGCCACAAATACAGCGAAGGTCTGCGCCTGCGCCTAGGCACCAAGGAACCCACCTTCCGCACTAAGGCTATGACGCGGATGAAGAATTCGGCTGATGGTTTGCCGCGCAGATTCAATGCAGTGGAGCAGTGGCCCAGTTATATTTCGGAAGTGCCGGATCAGGGCTGGTGCGGCTCCTCATGGGTGTTGTCCACCACCTCGGTGGCGTCTGATCGCTTTGCTATACAGAGTCAGGGCAAGGAGGTGGTTAATCTTTCGCCGCAGCACATCCTCTCCTGCACTCGCCGTCAGCAGGGCTGTGATGGCGGTCACTTGGATGCCGCCTGGCGCTTCCTGCACAAGTCAGGTGTCCTTGACGAAACCTGCTATCCATATGTGCAGCGTCGCGAAAAGTGTAGGGTGCATCACAGTAGTCGGTCGCTTAAGGCTAACGGCTGCAGTCCCGTGCCTGGCATTGATCGCGACAACTTCTATACTGTGGGACCGGCTTACATCCTGAACCGCGAGGCCGACATCATGGCCGAGATCTATCACTCGGGTCCTGTGCAAGCCACTATGCGCATTTACAGGGACTTTTTCTCCTACTCGGGTGGAGTTTATCGAAAGACAGCAGCCAATAGGGGCGCACCCACTGGCTTCCATTCCGTCAAGCTTGTGGGCTGGGGAGAGGAACACAACGGCGTCAAGTATTGGGTAAGTATCGAGGGATTGAGCATTATACTGAAGTATATACTATATATAAACGCAAATCGTATTTTTGTTTTACAGATCGCAGCAAATTCGTGGGGACCTTGGTGGGGAGAGCGCGGTTACTTCCGTATACTACGAGGCACCAACGAGTGTGACATCGAGGACTACGTCCTGGCATCTTGGCCATTGGTGTACAACTACTTCAAGGCCAAGCCGGTAGCCTAGAGTGCAAGCCTATAGAGCTAAAGTTATGCTGCAGTAACAAAGTTATCTCATTCTTCAAAATTTTTCCATTCTTTTTAAAATACAAATCGGCGCGGAGTTGAGCATAAAGTTAAAGGTATGCGGAAATGAATAATTTGGTTTTAATTTAGGAGCCTTCCTCTTATATGTATGTTAGAAAGTTAGAATAGCTTTAAAATCGCATGAAATCGAAGGAACACAGCTCAACTCCAAGCACGAATTATGGCCGTGTAATACCCCAACCCGGCAAATAATACTCTAAAATTTTGGCTTAAGATTTTCCCCACTGCTTTGCTGAATTTATTCCAAGTGATTGATTTAATTGAACTCGAAACAATAGTGAATTAAAAACACGAAACTGCCACATTAATACCGCCCCACCCCCCCAAAACTGCCAAAACGAATACGGTTTGAAATCTTATTAGTGATTTTTTTCAATTGGAATGAAGAAAGGTGTCTAAATGGAGGGTGGAACCTCCGCCTGAAGCTTAATTGGCATGTGTATATTCTTCACATCAAAGAAACGACAGTATAAATATATGTATTTCAATATTTGTATTCATTAGTGAGTTCTCAGTGCGATCCCCGAATATTCAAAAACATATATATCGCGTATCGCATATTGCTATGATAAAATATTTATGTAATTTTATACAATAAAACAAATTTTTGTCTCGTATACTCATTTGAATAAAAATTAACTGTAAGTAAAACCATGTTTCTACACTGTAACTTTTTTGGAATGGAAGCCATTCAACTCCCTTTCCGCTCAACATTTAAGGAAGCATTCCTAGAACTCATCGAATTTAACTTGAAGCTCTTTGAATCGATTTAATTTTGTAAATACAATTACACACAATTTAGATAAAACATTTTTATCTTATCTTTATTTTATGTGTATATATATACGTATCGCTTCATAATCATAATATTTGTAATCAATCATAATTGGTTAATATTAATACGTTGTATTACAACTATTTCACTTTAGGACTTCAATTTGTTTTACAATTTTTTCACGATTTTGTGGGGGTTAAATAATGGAACAAAATTATTATTATTTTTTTTATCTAATACTTAAATACTTGACAAAAAATCAAAAATAATTCAAGAATGTATAAACTTTGCACTTACAATACAGAAATAATCAAATTGAAATGACATCGGCATTTAAAAAATATAGATTCCTATTTGTCGACTACAATGTAACTGGCGGTACAAAAGTAGGCGTGGTCGATCGTGCGCAATAGTGTTTCTGTTTTAGTTGCATTTCCTTTTGTCTAAAGATGTTATCAAAGTATAATAATCCTTATTGGTTGAGTGCAATTCCAGCGAATGATACTTCTAAGGCGGCATCACTTGATTCCATGCGACTGCGTATGTGTGCTAGAGTGTTTTTGTAATGGCTCTCTATCTGTTTCGTCTCCTCACTGGGCTCCAAATTTGGCAGCTCCTCATTGACTTTGGCAATGAGCTGAAAGGACGCCATTTTATAATCAATTTATGAAGATGCGTTCCCTATGAAAATATATAATGGACTTACCTGATTCAGCATGGCGACTGTGATGAGCGAATTGCCGCGTTCAAAGAAGAAGAGGTAATGGTTCAACAGCTCCACATACAATTGCACCTGAACGCCCGTATCCAGACATTGGGATGCGATGCGCGCGCCCTTTTTCAAGCAATCCAATGTTCGTTTTTCATCACGCATTTCCTCTCCATTTTGTCTGTTCGAAATATGTTTAAATAGTCAAAATTGTTCATTAACTTAACTTATTCGTTTGCAACTCACTTGCCGCTCCAGAACAGCGCTGCACAGGCGACCACTCCGCGGCATTGATCGGGTTTCTTCAGCAGTTTCGAGGCGGCCAATGCACAGTTCGTACGTAACGGCTCGGCGTTTTCCTCACCGAAACAGGACATTTGCTCGAATGTGGACATAATGAGAGTTATGGCAGCTAATTGTGCCTTTGAATCGGATATTTCGTCCTCGTAGAGGGAGAAGGCTTGCGTCATAAACTCATATGCCACAGTCTCGTGATTCGTATATCGTATCTCGCCAATAACCAACGCGCCTTGTAAATATAAACGCAGTGCCAGATCTGGTAGATCCGCTTTGGCCAACGCACTGATTGTGCTGTGACAGTACTGAACTATTTTCTGACACTTTTTATCCCAGTTTTCGTCCTCATCGGCAATGGATTTGTATTTAAAGGCCAACTGATAGGCGGCGAATACCAGAGGTGGAAGCACATGCTTGAGACGCTGGCCGCCGCCATTGCCAAGGTGTTTGCGAGCCGTTTGTAGCATTTTGTATTGCATGTCTGGTTCATCCGATTTCATCAGATGTATAAAACTGTAAAAGCAAGCAGAACATCAGTAGGGAGGATTATTCTGGATTGCTAACCAAGTACTTACCGTGCCACAACGCCCTGCTCCTCAGCAAACTCCTCTGGGTCTATGCTGTTCGCCGCTGCCGCAGAGCTATCCTTGTTGGACTCATCATCCTTAATCAGAGGGGCTATAATAGTCAGTATGCTGTCCGCTTGATCCGACGTAGACACACATGTTTCATTCTCCAGTATGTTCATTACCAAATATAATGCCAGCGATTTGCGAGAGGTGTAGTCGAATTTTTCAAGTAGCGGACAGAAATTGTACAGCTGTATTATAGTCAAGGCGTTGTTGTAAAAATCGATGCATATGCGCAGCAGACGAGATAGCTCCTGGTTCACGGACAGCAAATGCGAAATGCTACAAAGATATATCAGCGATGCTCATTTGTAGTACGATTTCGAAAGGAAAGAAATTAAACATACTTGTTCATGTTCATGCGATCGAGTATTTGAGCGGTTGTTCCCAACACCTTGTCCACATAATCCACCCGATCTTGATATACCTTCTGCGCCAGACTGAGTAAGGCTACTTGTAGTGATATTGTGTCCTCCAGGGGCATATCCATACGTGTCTGCACAATGTTTGCTATCTGCACGCTGAACACCTCGAAAAGTTCGACTTCGGCTGGTATGATGGCGTCGATGGCATTTCCGCTTGTCTGTAGGAAAAACAAAATTTAAAAATAAAAAAAGTCATCTTGGACGCATGTATTACCTTGCCGCTGCGCTGATTGTAGGCAGCCAAGCGTTCAATCAGCGATATAATGATGTTCTTGACGTTGACGCCCGTCTCGAGTTGAGCGCACGATTTCAGGAATGGATCTAGCGTCTGGAGATGAAACTCGTCTGGAAACACCTGTATAATGCATTCCATAAGATACTCTTGGGCAATTGCATCGCGACAGCTAACGACTTGTTCCAATATGCCTGGCAAAATCAGACGCTGGTATGTCTCCAGCGTCGCCGACTCTAGTTGTGATAAACGCACCAGATTCGTGCCCACTAAAATCTTAAGCTCCTCTCGCTCTTTTTCCCTGCGTGTCTTTTCGCTCGAGTGTCCTTGGTGCTGCATTCGCACCCACAGTTTGTTCATTTCCGCAAAATTCGTAAGCACAAAATCAATAGCGTCATACACATTGCCTTCATGTTCGTTTTCCGCTACAAGCACGTCCGGTAGAATATTGCGGGTGCACTGCAGCAGATAGTTGCGCAGGAATAGGCCACGCAACGGATGCTGAACGCCACGACACATCTCCACAAGATCCTTCAGTATACTGCGCTTCAGCGTCGAGTCGTTCTTTATATACACAATGCCCACTGTGATGAGCAGATACAGGCGTGGCACAATTGTGTGCGAATACTGCACCAATTCGTAGAGATCCGTCTCCTTCTGACTCTTTTCGCTGAGATACAGTTCCAGGTGGCACAGCTCGTTCGTGATGGCCATATCTGTGGTGGACTGCGTTTAGACAACTTTCTGCTGACCAAAATTCTGAAGGCGTAATACTTACATAGCTCGTAGTAGCTTTTTGGTGACAACATCGAGGTGCGCAGTTCACTGAGCATCGTACTCGCGCACTTAAGCGCATCCAACATGCGTTCCTTATCTAGGAAGTGGTTCATTTGGAATGCCTGTTTTCGCGCCGAACCAACCGCCTCGGCGAGCAGCTTCTCTTGATCGTCCAAACCATTTGGCATGGTCTGAAAAGAGACATTAAATGGTGTTGAATATCAATGGCTGGTTATTTGTAAGCATGAAACATACTTAATTGAAGTATACATACATACATATATTATACAGATGAAAACATCAATGACAACAACAAATAAATGAAACAATAAACAACACAGTACGCGAGTAAAAGCGATAAGCGCCAACAATTTAACCAAACGAATAACGAAAATATGAAATGGGGGAACAATGATAAGAGAGCCTGCAAATCTTGACCGACCAGTTTGCAAGACGCCACAAGATGCACATACAAATATAAACATAAGTGACAAGATACGTATTACACGTGCACCGCACCCGTCGACCTGCGCCCCGATTTCCTGACATTCCAAATATCTATTTTAGTTGTACGTTGTGGCATAGAAGCAATGCATGTGAAGTAGAAAGTGAGTGGGCGTGGCGTATTTACCCTACGTTGGACAGCGTCACCAGCAGGCGCTTGGCCACTGTACGACGTTGAGCTCCAGGGATACATAGTGAGATGTTGATGTGGTGTCAAGTGTGGGGGTGTAGTTGTTGTGCGGCTCCGGAACTTTGCGGCTGAAGTTGTGGGCGTTTGCACGGGCGCAGCCAGCGCTTTACTTTATGCGATTTTATGGAGCTGCTTTCGCGGCAGGCTCGCTTCCCGACTTCTGCAGGCTAGAACGCGAGGCGTGACGCACTTACCATAACTGTGGTGTTGTGTGCGGAGCAAAGAAGTCAGTCTTTTACGCAATTATTCTTTTTTTCTGATTCCGTGCACAAATTTGGGGCGTAAGTTGCCAGCTAGGTTAAATCGGCGTTTTTCATGGAGAATTCGCAATACAATTGAATAAATTTAGATTAAACCAAGAGTTGGCAGGACCAAACATCATTAACAAAATGGAGTTGCCATCGCGTTTATTTTTGACAACGCAGTCACACTAACGGCAACAATACAATGATTCATATTGCAGTGTTGGAAATCGCAAAATGATGTATTTGAATTTGTGCGGACAAAAAGGCAGTTGACATGCAAAAAATAAAAACAATAAAATAAAGAACACCAGCCTAATAACAATAAATACGCATTGTGCTTGAATTTCAAATGTAAGTTTACACATTTATTACACATTAATACAGATATATAAATGTACATCAATTGTAAATGGAAATTTGACTTTTTGGACTCAACGCACATCAATGTATTATGCTGTATAATACCCTTGCGAGATGCAAATTAACACACGCTTGCGAATGACTTACCAACTATGTATATCGGACGACTGTATATAACATTTAGCTGTTGGAGAAATGGTTAGCTGAATTTCTTCCAATTAAAGTAATATTATTCGAATTGCATTCATTTTGTAAAGTATAATTTGACATTTAATTTAAATGCCTTTGCAAGGATATGTTGCCATCGACAAGCCGACGACAGCATATTTCTTTGCATATTTGTTAATCTAAGTACATGCTCAGATTCTATCAGCATTGATTAAATAACATACGGCTCGAATTTTTTCTTAGGGTACACTGGGGCGTTTGCCGAATGACTCAGTTTGATGGATATAGGAATCAAAATACATTTATAGAATTGTATCAATTATTTTATACGTACATTATGTATGTGAGAAAAAATAATTCCATTAGATTTACACATTTTTTTGTAAGCCTTTCTCGTGAACATGTCATGCCCATTGAATATAGCAAACATCCACTAATGTCTTTTTTTAATTCCATTGTGCTGCAAGTTTTCAAATATACATACATATGCTCACATCTATGTGTGTGTGTGTTTTTTTTTAACATTTAACATCTATAACTTAGCTTTTATTCACTATAGAATAAATAATCAAAAAATGTACATCTATATTCAACGTTAAAATTGATGCATGCATGGCCTTGTTATATATAGTAAGTATGTTAGGAGAGGCTCACGCTTAACTACTTAAGAGTAAAGAAATGTTTGTTTGAATATATTTATATTAATAACTAATATCAATCATTAAAGCAGTTGCTATTTTTGATCAAAGTTTTGATGTTGAAAAATTAGAGCTCTAGTTTAATTTCGAAATGGTCCCACCTAACTTAAGAAACCCGAGCTTGTGCTAGTTTTGAATGCACCAACGGTTTCTAAAACAAAAATAATTGGTTTTCTTCTATCAAAAAACGAAAACAAAGCGATATTTTCTGTGATATACAATAAATATATTTATAAATTGGTTTTAAAACTAATGCAAATACAACTCGAAAATTAAATATTTCGGTTTTCGCACCATCTCTCTAAATGTATAATCAATATTAAACCTAATTTTGTGCATATGTATGTTCCTACATATGTATGCGATTAAAAATGCAATTAAATATAACGATTAAATATACATACATACATATATTATTTAATTAACAATTAATAACGTTCGGCCAATCTGTGTGCCAAACATTAAAAAAATCAGTACAATTCGCTTCATTTACTTAGGGTAATCATATTTTTTAATTTTGTAAATTAGGAAATTATTGCTTTCAAATTGGTTGGAGGCGTCTCGAGAAATTTGATTAAACATCATTCATACATTCCCTGTAAACAAATTAAACTATTGAAAATCGGGCAGTTTCAAAAGAGATGTTAAGCGAATATACAAGTACAATATATTTAGGAATTCAAATTGTTTAAGAAATGTATGGATCTGATGTTTGTTACTTTTATATATTTAATATATTAAAGTGCTTGGAGTTATAGTTTTCAAATAATCAACTCGTGCTATTGTAATCATTGTTTGCAATCGCAATATCAAGACTGTATTATCTGACTTGAGTCAGCTGCATTTAATCGAACAGATATACATAACTGCATATTTTACAAAGATATTAAAAATAAGTACCTATGTATATAATAAAATGGGTAAACCTATAAGTCTAATTGTAACTCGTATGTTTAAGAACTTAAGCCAATTTTGTGGGAACTTTTGAATTCTCATATCTTTGGTTTGTATTTTTTTAATATAATCAGTTGGAAACAATCCTTAGGATTTTTATGCACAGAATTTGAAAACCAAATGGGTAATATTCATACATAATTTAAAGGTAAAAACTAAAACGCTTCGGCATCTGTGAACCCACAAATGCTCCCAATGAGCTGCTCAGTCGTTGTGTGTGTATGTTTGAGTGTGTGTGTGTGGTGTTGCCTTAAAGGACATGAAGATTTTCGCAGCTCTTTGATTTGGAATCGCGCGTCCAGACACGTCCAAGCAACCCTTTGACCTTAAGACTGGTAGAGGTTCGCGAGCCACGATACTTGCGGGGGCTGTGGGGGGAAAAAGCGGTAGATGTTATAAACGATTTCTAGTGGGCGATGTACCTTGTAATTACCTGCTGTGGGCACTGCCTGGTGGTGTACTAACTGCCTCGCCCATGGCTCCTCCGAGCTGGGCGAGGGGCGTGCTGGCATTCAGGCAGCCCGCGCTGAGGGGCGAGCAGGCGCGGCGTTTCGACTTACGAATGGAGCGCTTGCGGAACAAATCTCTATGGAGTGGACCGCTGTCTATTAGTTTGATATTTACGCCACAAATTAGTTGAATCACTCACCTAGATTTCTCGGGATTCTCGAGCTTCAGTCGTATCTGTGACAACAGTCCCACCAGCAGCTCATCCACATTGTGATTAATGCCCACAGAAGTTTCAATGAATTTGCAGTCATAGGCTGTGGCCATAGCTTTGCCCTCTGCCCAGAAAAAATATAAATAAGAAATGTTTATTAAATTATATTGTAATGCTAAGCATAAAAACAGAACTTGACCGATTAATATCCCCATTAAATTCTGAAGTTAGTCTTCAATGAACTGCGATATGAAGTAGTCGGGCCGACTTGTTATCGTAAAATCTGAAGTATTCAAGTTATTAAAGTTGAGTACTCGCCCCAAAATAAACCACACCGCGCCCTCTTTTACTGCCAAACAAAATTTCTTATTAACGATGTGCCGAAAGTTGGCGTCATTTTATTACATTTTGATAGCGTGTTCTCCTCTCGTTCTGTGGCCGCGAAATAAATTCCAACAGCTTATTATTACGTTTATTAAAAAGCCTATTGGTATGACGCACCCCAAAGCTTTAAGTATTTAAACAAATGTGGTTAGATGATACATTGTTGGCCAATAAGCCAGTGCTTGCTTTCTGCAACTATAGTTACTAATTAAATGTACATAAATGATGCGTACAAGTATATTTGCAGTCAACAAAATAATTTCATTTAAGTTGTACATGGGAGTTGGAGTCAACCGTCCTTTTCCTACCCCTCCTTGTTAGATGGTGAACCGCAAACAGAAGGCAGCGGATTGTAAACAAGATTGTTTCTGACATACTTCTATTTGCTGCGTTTTAATTATGTGACAAATTAATGTTGTTGGTTAACAATTGTGGGGTTTGCAGTGTTTGCTTGGCCTTCGAAATGAGCCAGAAACTGTTTAAAGAAAGGGAAAGGCCGCCTACAATTAAGGTGCTGCGCGCACAATAAAAAATTAAAACAGGAAAACAATTACTGAAATTTGTATTACGTATACGCGGCATCGGCACAATATAACAGGGATAAAATGTAATCAATTTGTCGCAGAAACAATTTCCTGTTATATCAAAAGAGCCGTCGCCATTCCAAGACCCCACACGCATCCACACGTATTTATATATGTATGTGTGTTTGTGTGTGTGTGTGTATATATATATGTATATGTGTGTGTGCATAATTTCCATTTACTTTCTGTCTGCAAATCCCAATGCGATTATTAAACACCAAATGAGATTTGCTAAAAATATTAAATTTCGTAGATGTCTTTCATCTTACGCTTAAAGTGCCCGCCACCCAGTCCGTTTCTGATTTATCCGTCCTTATGGCAACAGGCGCTTGGGCAGCAAAGCTCTGAAGCTAAATATCGTAGAAAAATAAAAATAAACTCTCGTTTACTTTAAGGTAGTAGGTGCGGAAAGAGCAGACACATGACCTTTGCCAACTCGACAATCTAACGATGTGGTGGTTTTGGTGTGTGATGATGATGATGTGTGTGTGTGTGTGTGTGTGTGTTTGTGTGTGCCAATCAACTTCCGCCTAATCAACTCTCATTGGAACCCCAAATGCCAGCGATACAATTGTCTCTCTCTCTCTCACTGGCTGAGTGGGTTTGGGTCGCCCTTTACTAAACTACCGTTACAAGTCGATATCATCATCAGTAGCATTTAGACAGACCTTTTTCTATGTTCTACAGTCTATGGCTGCTGTTTTTATTTTTGTAGCCCATTCAAGCGCGCTTCGAAATGTAAAATGATAAACGTTTAATATGCACTTACCTTCGGATGTAACGAGTCGGCTTCTGGCCAGGTCAGCTTTGTTGGCCACCAATATGACTGCCTTCTGGGCTATGTTTTGATTGGTCCAGAGAATCTGCAGCACCTGCTCAGCAACATTGAAGCTGCTTCGGTCGGCGGCAGAGTAAATGACGCAATAGCCATGCGGATCGTAGCTGGACAGACATTCATTCGGCTGTGAAAATAAATGACACGAATCGAAACGGGTGTTAAGTAATGTTTAACTGGCCACAACGCCATTTACTATTGACAGATTTGGTGTGATTTGAGTGTGTTGTCTATACATTTAAAGCTCTATTATGGCAGAATTCAAGGAAAGAGGTATTTGTCTCTGCATGTGACAGAAATAGAGACAACCACATGCCAGTCACAAATGAACGACTATTAAAATCTGGTCAAATTATCTAAGTTGTGTTGGCAAAACTCATTTATATTTTGTAATTATAATGCAACAATAAAGTCAATTTATAACGTACTTATAGAATTTATTTTAAGACCACTGGCTTTGTCTCTATGTATTGTTATTGTACTTACAATATTGCGTGCCAAATTATGTAAATAAAAGATTCGATTTAAGGTCGATTTTCTTGTATGCACATATATGTATGTATGCATAACAATTTCAATCACTCACACTTTCACTTTAATTTGTTAATCAATTTGAAAATTTTACTCACCGTCATTTCTGTGTAGCTGTGGTCGATAAATATCAATTCCGATTCCTCACCACTTAGTAATACTGATACGGCTTTCTCCCCAGATTCATCATCTGTACATTATTTGAAATGGAAACACACAACTTATTATTATCACCAATAAACAAATATTGTAATTGCCAAAGCAGACTAAACATAAAACAGAGAAACTTTATACTACAAACTGATGTGGGAATAAGTATTGGATATTGGCATTTCAATTATAAATTAATTTCAAATTTTTATTTTTGTTGCAAATGCCATTTATTTACTAAATATTTACAATATGCTGTCTATGTAAATGGCTCTCGGCCAGCATTTCATTGTGGATGTGTCTGATAAAATGTTGGTTGTAGGCTGATCATCAGCGATATGCGTGCGATTTTTTGTTGTTGTGTTAATGGGCATATTTCAAATTGAATTCCTTTTTGGGATTTGTGGTCAGCTTAAATACCTGATGTAAGGGTTAATTAAATGAGAAACATGCCCGCATTGCTACATAACAGGAAAGTGTGTATATACAATGAAAATATTTACAGAGTTCGCATTTTCATCAATTAATGTGAACGTGCTATGAATGCTTTTGAAATGATGATGGCAGGCAAAATTCAGGGTAAGCAAGCTTCTTAAGGCGATGAATGTGTTGTTGGTGTGGATGAATGAGTGATTGTTTGCATTTCCGGCCCCCAAAAGTATGCAGTACTTTAGTTTTTGTTGACAGTAAGAAGGGCGAGAATGACTTTTTAAACTGTTGAACATGTTCAAAACTATGCTAAAATAGAAAACAAATTGGATTGAAGCTGACTGAAATAAAAATAATTAGTCCGGGGATAGCATATCTTGTTTGAAAAAAAGTCATCATAAAAAGAATCTGCGTCCACTTTAAATTTAGAATGGAACTGTGAAGTTGCAGCCAAAGAGGCAGTTTTAGTTCAAGTAGCAGTGAAAAAAACCAACAATGATAAAATAAAGGAATATTTGAATTGAAATTGAATGCGATTTTAAAGAGAAGAATAATAATAATTTAAAATTTAAAATTAATTGAATATAACTAAAAAAGAATGAAGTACATTTAATAAAAATAAGGATACAAAAACGAAATGGAAAAAAATTATAAATAAATACACTTCATTATAAATAAAATATGTACAAATGGTCGAATGTTTGTTTTTTATGGGAATAGTCATTCCTGCCCATGAAGAACAATTGTGGCGATATTTGTAGTATCTGTACAGATACTGTATTTACTGTGTGTATAGTAGTTGGATGGCTTTTAGGAAATTATGTGCGTTTGATTTGTGTGTTGGGAATATTGGCTTTGTCTTGTTTTACAATACTTCGTGTGGAGTTCTCATATCTAAGTCTGCGTTCTAATCGGTGAACTAGTTAGTGTGTGTTGTTGTGCCCTGTTTATAAATTTATATGTAAAACGCTAAACTAAATAAAGCGAACGGCAGTCGAATTCAGGTCAATATATAGCCTGAAGAGCTGATTCGAATTGAATTGCTTAAGTTAAGTTTAGTGTAAAATTGAAAATGTGACGTAAAGCAATTAGAGATGTAAATACTAATTTTCGTAAATATGAGCATAATTATTATGGTGAGGAATAGCATTATTATTAATATGATTATTATTATTTAATTTTTACCGTCGGCGGCTTTTTCAATATGTATGCGTATATCACAGTTGCCTAGATCTTTGTTTTAATTAATACAGTAAGTTGTTGTAGATGTTGTTGTTGTTCGTGTGTATATATTTGTTAGCAATGAATACACATATAATTGTCATTGATTGTCGTTGTTGATGTTGTTGTTGTAGTTGTTGGTTTATTTATTCATTTGAGTTTATCGAGTTGAGTTCAGTTTGGAAGCGCATTGAATGAAACGTTTTTATGGACATGACCAAGAGACGAGAGAGAACAAAAAGAAATCAGTTTCGACATGTGTATATTTTGAAATGGATTTACGAGTATAAAGTTTGATTTAGCCAAATGACAATGACTTTTGATCTTTTGTTTTTATTGTAAATAAAACAAAAAACAAAAAAAATATTTACTATTTATGTATGTATGGTGGGTGCTCTTTATGCTGGAAATATTTGAAAATTTTGCACGTTTCAATTTGGCAATTCGCTTGGTTTGGCTTTGGACTTTGGTGTAATTACAAAAATTTCCATTTTGATTTGTGGGCATTTGATTTTTGTTATGCACATTGTGTTGAGGTGGGAAATTTATGGCACAACAGGCATGTACAGGGCGGTCGTAAAAAGTTGCAAACAAAATGTATAACGGCCAATTAAATTGTAGACGTAAAGCAGGAGCAATGATCTAACGATGGGGCAGCTTACACGCGGCAATATGCAGGGACACAGACATGGATTTACACAGACGCACACACACTCGCAAAACAAAAAAACATAACAAAAAAATAAATAAAAACGAGCAGCAATTGTTAAGAGCGCACACACAAACAAACAAACAAACAAACGGGGCTAGACCCCGAATACACAAACACACACACACACAAACATATACAAATACGAGTGGGTACTAAGGTTAGACACACAGTGCGGCGAACGAACTATAGGGGCGGCATAGCCAGGAGGGGGGGGGAAGGAATTAAAAGCAACCTACCTATACTTGTGTCGTAGGCGTGCAGATATTCCGAAGTCATAAACTGTGAGACCAAAGAGCTCTTTCCCACTGCCGGACCTCCAAGCATAAGAACCCTGTAAAATATGACAACAATTAGGAAAAAGCAAAATAAACCGAGTTGTGAATTGTGGTCAGCAGGACTTACCGGTAGGGACCGCTGCCTGGATTGGAGGTGCTGCTCTCACGGCTCGAGGCCAAGCTGCAGGTGGCGGATGTCCTTGCTGAGCTGGGGGCGGGCAATTGCTGGGCGGTCAAGTGCTCGGTGCTGCAACGACACATACATATGTTTAGATGAAGGGTGTGACCACACCGGAGGTTGTCAAGTTATCCATACCTGGAATTAGAGCTGGCCACACTGTTGTTCGAGCGACTGCGACGACTCTTCAATGAATCACCGCGATTTACAACACCCTTGCCCGTGATGGAGAAGTGTCGTAGTCTGTAGTATTCCTCCTCGACGCCAGTATTGGGCATGGAGGCAACGCTGTTTCGAGTGACAGAGGAAGCCAGAGTTAATTCTATAAGCCAGCGGCAAACGTTCGGCTGACACTTACCGGGAGCGTTGCTGGGGCAGACAGAGCTGATTGGGCCGACCGGATGCACGACTGCCTGGCGTCTTTACCGACTGTGAGCGACTGTGATGTGGTGAGCCATAGCTGCAACAAAAATACAAAAAAATCAAAAATCAATACAATAATTAAGTGATTAATATAATTTCATTTGTTCTGTGATTTATTTTCAAATCGCAGGAGAAATACGCTAGATGTAGAATAATTATGATGTACTCGAATGTACATTATTGTTGAAATTAATAAAGCTTTTATAATTAATATGTGTTGTCTAAACAAGCAAGATTTTCAGGTCAATAAAATGTAATGATTTTCATTTCTGAACATATTTTTCTTCTGCGCCAGAGCTACAAGTACAATATACTTGTACTTGTATACTCTTCAGTGTGCCTTATAATGGTTTTGAACACCGACTCGATTGCAGCCGATTTCGAATTAAAATGAAAGTAAATTGAAGCCGTTCTATTTTCTGCTGCCCAATGCAATCGGAATTATGATGGTCATGCTCGAGGACAATTAAATGTTACGCATACGCCATGTTGCGCTCAAAAAACAAGCATCGATTTCAAGCGAGGAGGCAGTCGTCTCCGACTGTCTACTATATAAGTGAGTGCAAATTGTTATCTAGATTCCTAATGGGCTTGAGGGTCATTAAATGTAAGTAACTGGCTGTATTTAGCCTCAATTACAGGGCCAGCCCTAGCAACACACAAATACATATACAACAAAGTGTTCTAAATTGATGTTGGTGCAAAAAAAGAAGAAACAAACAAACAAACAAACAACGTTAGCTCACGCAAGGCAACAAAGTTTCAGCTGTTGGATCGCTAAGTGTTCGACTAGGCGTTTGCGACGAAGGTCCTTAACGGAAAATGCCATAAAAATTTACATTGACTTTCAGGGCAACGGCTGTGGTGTGAATTTTAGCGACATTGCAAATATGTTTCCACGCCCAAACTTACTCATGCCTTTATGCATGTAGTATGTATACACATATGTATATGCTCGTAAAAAAATTCGAATACAAGCACACGCATGCAGTTGACAGCAGCTTAATCAGAGCAGATTGCGCTTCAACAATATGCACGTTGAAGGTGGGAACTGGAACTGTTCTATATCCACATCCGCTTTGTAATTGAAATACCATCAACAACAATGCGTGTGCATCTGTATGTATGTGAGTGTGTGTGTGTGTGCTTGTGTGTGTTTGTGTGTGTATGTTTGCTGGTGTGATTTAGCTTTGAAAGTTTCTACAGTCCCGCCCCCAAGTTAAAATGCAAACAATGAAGGACAGACACATGAGCAAAAACAAGCACGCGCACGCACATCAAACAGTTCGTTTATGTATATACACTGTTCGAAAAAACGATTCCTCAGCTGTGTGTTGTCTGTACTTTATAACTTTACTTTTACATTGCTTAGTATAGTATATTTATTTATATCTTCGAAACATTGCAGCTTGAAGGCACTTCAAGCCAAAACGGTTGAAAGAATTTCTTCTGTAGTGGTGGACCGCTTTTGTCAATTAGGAAAGGATTTTTAAATTCCATTTATCTACATAGAATAATGTTTTAAAAAATCAATTAGCTGAAATAAACGTGTAGCTTAATCGCATAAAGATATTTTCTGATACAAATAAAAAATAAATAAACAAGGATAGTACATGCCACTATGTATGGAGTTTTTAAATTAATTATTTATCTTTGGGGCTAATCTCTGTCCACACATGATTGTAAGCTAGCGGTCATATATTTATTGAGTTTCTTTCCTCAATATGTTAATGAAGTTTAAACTCAATCAAAAAATTAAAAAAATGGGCCCTCACATACCTCCTACATGGAGTGTTCTTGACTCGGGAAAACAAATTTAAAACAATTATATTTATTTTCAGTGTAACACACAGTAGGATATATACATGTCTGTGTATTCACGTTGACCGCAACTTGGCCAAGCAGATGAAAGCTAAAATAAAAACTTTTTGATTAGTTATCAAGGGCTTGGCTAGCTCGAACACTGACTCACACAAGTGCACATACTACACAAGTATACTCGTATATACTATACTTAGATGAAACATGCAGGTTTTGCCAACGAACATATGTGCTTGTTGTTCAGGTTGTCCATTTTCTGGCGCATTGCGGTATTCAAAATAGAATTTGATTTGATTTGCAATTTTCATGTTTGTTGTTTTCTTTGCGCCTCAAAAATTGTCATTTGAATTGGTTGCAGGCACCCAAGGGACGAAATGTCAGTAAAACGAACTTGGGTCCAATAGCACGTATGAGTGCCTATGAAGACTTACAGGCAGATAACAGCATTTAAATTGCTGAAAGGTAACACATTTGCAGGCTTGCGAGTGTTTCCTTGAAGTGATTCACATAAACTGATGGTTATAGTACAATATTTCTACGAGACCTGTTGTGTTGCTAGGCAGGCTGACAGCAAGCGCTGACAAAGAGCAATGTTCGCTTCCTATCCTTTGATCGGATGTTGTTGATGAGCGAATAAAGTTAGTGAACCTTGAACTTTCACTGGCTATCGAATGCGTTGTAATGTAAGTATTGCTTTTCATGTAGTTACACGTATTGCTTTAAGAGGCTAAGAGGGGCTCTTTGTTGCGCTCATTGCAGCTTCAAAGGACTTTCAATACACAAGTATCAAATTGGTACGGCGGGGGGAAAGGTAAGTAATCACATTCCGCAATTGCATTTTATTTAATCGGCTTAGAACAACTTTTCGCTACAAAGTTTACTTCCATACCTCTAAATAAATAATACATACCGCATTTCAAAATCGCGCAGCTCCTCGATAGTCAGTGTATTGGTAACATCCAGCAACTGTCTCATGTTCTCATCGCGTTTGTTTTGCTGTACGAGTCCGGCGTGTCCTTGTGCATGGTGATGCTGTTGTTGTTGCTGCTGAGAGTGCGTTAAGTGCGCGGCATGTGGCGGATGTGCCAGCTGCTGTGAGTTGCGCTTGCGAGCGTTCAATTCCTTTCCCTGCTCCACGCTGATGAAGTCGCCTTCGTTTTTGATCAGAAGCGTTTCAACGGTGTTGTCCAGACTCAGGGACGGCTGTCGGCCAAAAAAAAGAGGAGAAGAGGGAGAGAGAAGAGGAACATTGTTAAGCTGATTGTCGTGAAAGGCTTTCAATAAATCGTGAGTGCCACTGCTTGTAGTCTGTTGCTTAGTGCTGACTATATAAAACGCTTATATACATATGTATATATAGTACAAGTATATGGGTAGCTCAAGCGCTTTTGAGCGCTTTCTTGCACCAGCTCTTTCGACCAGATAAGTTTATAATATTTTATTAGCCCTGCATTGAATGCAAATACTAAAAGAAAGCTCTATTAATTTTGCTTGCTGCATTTATTGCTTTGCATAAATAGTGGATTCTTTTCCTTCGCTCCAGCCCTTCGTTATTCACGTTGCAAGCCGCTTAAGTGGCTCAAGGTTTTTCAATACCGTGCCCTAGTCTACCTCTACTTGCGCCTCAAGTATCAGGTGGCAGCTGACTGCGATGAGGGGGGATAACAACATTGTAGACATTTTTGTAAGCTTTTTTGGTGGGCGCGGAGAGGGAGGTGGGAGCATAGAGAAACTTTAGCCTTATCTTCTCGCTCTTGTGCGGCCCCATTTTGCGAGTTTGATAACCTTTCAAGGCTCATTATTCATAGGTAAAGCGAACTCATGCAAAACTTTTTCAATCGATGCAAAAGGGGCGGGTAAAATACTTTTATAATTAGCTGCATTCAAATTGATGCCCGACTGGGCTCGCTCAACCAAGTAACTGGGCGGTTACATTTTTACTCGTCCAAAATAGAATTTTATTATTCTGGCCACGTCAACGGCCGACTTAATTTTTTCGCAGCCCCCCAACACCTCAACTCAATCAATTTGGCATTTAAATGGGATGGGTATGGAAGACTGACCTTCTGCTATTCGTAATTAAATTTTAACTGTTCTACTTATACTTATGATGATAGATGATAGATGCTTCATTTTCCTGCTATCTTAGCTTAATTGTTGTTTGGCCTGTTTTGAGCATCACACTGGCTGCCTTTTGCAGAGTTCGCTTCTACACTTTCAATCCCCAATTAAATTTCATGTTGGCTTAATTCCGTTTACAGAAACAACATGCCAAACATAAGCATTCAATTAGCATTTAACTAAAGTTCGCACTCGAGACAAATAAATACAATACAAACAAGATGTTAAGCTTGCTGCATTTTCGGAGCAACAGGAAGCCTAAGGGCTAAAGGACCGATAGTATGTCAAGTTTTCTTCACATGACCGTACTCGTATCTAAGCAACAAGAAGCCGAGTAAAATATATTTCAGCTGAGCTTTTTCAAGTCTTGAAACAACGGAAACTTTTGCCATTCATTTTTCTAGATTGTACTCATAAAGTTTTACCTGCGAAGACACTCAGCAGGTTGTTATCAAAACATACACACACCCGCACATACATATGTGCATAAGAATTTATTTGGCTGATGGTGAAATTAATTCGTATATTTTATTGGCAGTTACGAACCAACAAGCAAAAAAAGCTGCTCTTCACCGCAAGCAGCTGCTAATTAATAATATCCAGCCCTAGTAGAAACTAATTTGGCTACATACACACACACATGTGTCTGCTGTGTGTTTGTAGTTAAGGAAAGGGGAGTGTCATGTGGGCCTGTCGGGTCTTTAATTAGAAGCACAACATGACGCACAATCCACAACAAGTAAGCAACCAAATGTTACAACTAGCCGAAAGATACAACTTTTACAAATGTACACTGGGGAGTGATTACTGCACGATCTGTGAACATAATGCGTGTGTTCGAGCTCGCGGACCAGACTTCTGACAACGACATTACCCCAACAACAAACAAATTTAAGACGTTTTCAATGGTGACGAAAGCAGTCTTTAAAGCGCATTGATGCGTATGAGTAATGTATTTATGGATCTAGGTATGTATGTGCATGCTGTTTTGTGCTCCAAAAACAACGCAACACATTTAGAAGCCATAAAGGTTTCATTTTCTTTTAAACGCTTTTTGATGTTTCACATACGCCCTGTTGCCCCAAGTGAGTTAAGTGGCGTAAAATGTATTTTATTATACATTTTATATGTGCTCATAAAATGCAAAAAACTCAAAGTAGATATATTAACTGTAATCGAGAAGCTGGTTAAACTCTAAAATAATGAGTCTCAAATATAATAAGTTCATTAGCGGAAAGCTGAGTTCATTAGTGTTACGTAGTAATGTAATTATGCTTAGAAGATTCTTGAATAGAAAGTTAAATCAGTTGCGTATATGATTTCTGCATTTTTCAGTATTTGGCAGACGTTGCTTTAGTATTTTCAAGATTAAATTCATATTTCCAAATGTTTACTCAGATCTATGAAGAACGAATTATAAAGTATTTTCGATTGTTATTATTGCAAACGTAATATCTTTTTTATAAAATTGCTTTATAATAAACAAATTAATTGATTACTGGACAGATTTACGGCCCTCTGCGTAAATTTAAATTTCTAAAAAAAAATAGAAACTATGAAGACAAGCCATTAATTCTTTTACAATATGAATAAAAATGTGATGGTAGTTGAAGTCTCTAAATATTTACTTTTACTTTTCTACTCACATTTATGTAGATTTTTTGGAGACCCTGGTATATCAAAATACTTATATGTGCTTGCTAATGCCATCTGTTACTTTTCTATCACACCTTATTCCAGCCCGTTCCTTGACTTGGCTTCGAATTTGGTTATTTTTAAAACAACTTTGTGTGTTTTTGTTATGATTTCCTTTTTCTTTTCGCATAATGCTTTCCTCTATTGTTTGCTACTCAAAACGCAACGCTGCGTGTAACTTTTCACCTTTCAACTGATCATTAAATATTTGAAGAGGCACGAGGTGTGAGAAAACTGCCAAAGGCATACTTATATGTACAAACGTTCTTTAAAGCACGTACAGGAAATTCCCGTATCGAAGTGCAGGGAATAATCATAATTTGGAAGCACGCAGGTTCACTTGCACCGAACAAATAACTAACTAATGCAGACCAGGTAGTAAACAAATACGAGTAGTATGCTTTTCCGAGCTGTGTTTATTTCAATTCGCACTTAGCGATAAGTTTGCAAATAAATGTTGTGCACTGAATGCATGGCGACTGTAATTGAATTTTAATGCATTGCGAGTAGCCGACTAGGTGGTAGGGAAAACGAAACAATATTCAAATATGCAAAATATTCATGTGCATAAATTACTTGAAAACGAAAATGGATGGCGAACGTCTGCCAGCACTCATTTCACACTTCGTTGTGTTCAATAAATATCCAATACATAATACGATAGCGAACCTCTCTGCGCGCTCCCTCTAATGTTCGTCTCATGCATAACACAGGACCGTTTAAAAATACATTCACTTGTAGTACGAGTTTGGTAAACATTAAAATAAAAGCGTACACCGAGTGCTGTGCATGTACTTGTAAATCACATCATTTCCATTAAAAGGCGTTCTGTATTCAATCAATTGTAAAATAGAATGGCAATAAGTTCGCAACAACTTGCATCAACAATTTGTTTTCAACTCATAAAAATGGTTTTAGGGGCGAAAAAACCTTGTTTCGTAGCGCTTAACTAAAATTTAATTATCATATTAATAAGTGGCCTTGAAGCCATTTTCACTTGAAATAGAAACTTTCTGTTTTAAAAACAGCTCGACGTTACTGAGTTGTGTAAAAATACATTTTAAAACCCCACTTGTTATTTAATTGGTTTCCGTAAAATCTGGTGTTGGTTGTATTGGTCAATTAAATTAAAAATAATTGAAAATTTCTCTGTCACATAAATCGAGCCTGCTCATAAATATTCATAATTTGTTGCTTTAAATCACTTTTGATTTAATGTTAAAGTTGGCATAGCTCGCCAAACTGTTAAAGTGAAGCCCAAAAGTGTGCTGTAGATAATTATTATTGCGCTCATTTCCAGTAAGCAGTTAATCATTTTGAATTTGGCTTGCAAATGTTTCTGAAACAAGCCGGAATAAACATGAAAAAGTATTCTGATGATAAAGTTAGTTCATTTAATAAAAGACATTTGTTGCATCGAAGGTCTGCACTGATAAAGACAAACCAATTTCCTACTTTCATGCACAGTTGTGAATTTAAAGCAGAATGGATTTCCTAAATCCTTTTTTCGTTGAAAAGCTGTTGGTAATTGTTCCCTGTCATATTATTTCATTCCTATAACAGCAGCTGCTTTGCCTCAGGTCTGAATGTTTATAGACAATGGAGAGGCCGTTTGAAAATTTCAGCTTATTGAATTTGTCAGTAACTCAACACCTTTGCGCTGGACCATTGCAAAATTCCAAATACTATTTACGTTTTGCGGCTTGCATTGTGCGCTTATTGGAATTTTCCGTGCGCAGGCGGTGTCGGAAAAGCAAGGCTGCTATTTTCGGATGCATGAAAACAAACGTTGCAAGTGTGCAGCATGTAGCTAAAATGTTTATTTATAACTGCAATTTATTTATGGCGCTGCTGCATATGAAGCAGAGGCTGCAGAGGCTGCAAGTCTTAGTAGTCGGCACAATGGGGTCAATGAATCCAATTGCACAGAGAATGCAAACGAAGGCAGCTAAGTGCGCGAGTCCACAGGAAGGCGCCAAGGAAGACGTAGGAATGTCGCATGTGCATTTAAGCATAAATAATGCAAATTGGCCAATCTGTGGAGTTTTACAGCTGGTGGCGTCGAGACGCCATCTGCTAGCAACCATCATATAAATCAGTTAATAAATGACACTTAAAAGACGATTGACCCACACAAGCCCCATAACACTAACACACTGACCCGAAAAGCTACAAAAACAGCAACATGAACAGTAACAGTAACAGGAACAACAACGGCTCATAAACAACGAGTACAGGTCATCAACCCAAGCCAAATAAAAGCAGCAGGCAGAACAAATACCAGGAAAGCGGGGAACATAACGTGAAGTACAAGTAGATGTAATTAAGGGAACTGAATAAACACGCACTCACTCACTGGCATTACGAGAATGGGGCCGCCATTAAAGGCAGATACTACAAAGGCAACGTGGCGTATGCGTATTAAATAAATACATGCACACTCATTGCTGACAGCAACACACATTCGAAATTCTTTTCGCAATTCCAACTTGAATTTGCCAGTCAGTCCGTTAGTCCATTATTCCTTCAAGAAATAGCCAAATTATGCAGCAAATTGTATCCTTGACCATAAATTATGTTGGGTGGCTATTCTCAATTTTTGTTTTGCTTTGTTCTATTCTCTGCACAGTCACTCTATAATTAGGGGTAAAAGTTTCGGTTGCCGCGAGCTTAAAATAAACGTCCTTGGGATGCGTGCAGAGAGTTCGCGAACAAGAGTGCGAGTCAACAGCCGCTGCCATCGTTTTGGCAAATCATAAACTACTGCAACATGTTCATCTATATTATAAATAAAATCAAATTCAATTTCAAAGAGAACGGACACGAACGGGCAGTACAAGGTTCGATTGTTTGATTGTTCGATTGTTATGTATTTCTTGATAAGTAAACAAGCCCTTGCATACTTTTTATTCAATTGATGCATGTCGAATAAATTAAATTTGGTGCGCGATACGCGAATATAATTTGTTTTTACCTGCAACCTTGGAAGTTTAATTGAGACAGATATGTTATAGGGTGAAAATAATATTTAACTGGAATATGCAATGTGAATAGATTTATAAATATTGAACACAGACTGTGTTCGTAGGCTATGGTTGCAAGTCTAATTTAAATCGAATTTCCGTTTAATTATAACAAATTTAAATCGAATGTGTTCAAAGCTTATTGAATTGTTAATTGTTTAGCTGCATGGTCAAATTTAACGCTTTAAGGAACAGCGAACTAGAAGATAACCAGCACATCTTAAATTCGTTGACAGCTTTGTTGATTTAATTATTCCTTTTTATATACGAATTGGAAACAATTTCTCATTTAAAATTCAAAACACTAAGCAGGGTAGATATTAATTCATTTGGTTTTATCGCAGTTAAATTATGACGAAAAAGAAAATGCAAATTTATATATTTATATCACAGGCACACCCCCAGGACTTGCCTCCCTGTCAGAGCTACGTAGGCATAGAGGGTTAAACGAATATGCAAATAATTACGTTAGATTGTAAAGTGTAGATTGGTTGATGGCTCGTTGCACGTAAATGCATTTTCATGTTAAAATGTTTGCCTGCACTTAAGTCTTTAGCAGAACGTCTCCTTGTCTTTTAATTGTATTATATTGCATGAAAAGTTCCTCAACAATGACTCGTGACGTCATTTCATTAAATGGTCAGTTTTGTGCTGTAACTGTAAATCTTGTTAATTATCTACTGCCAGTTCTGATTCAAAAGAGCAAATGCTAGTTACAATTTACACCTAAATGGATTACTCAGAGCCGATTAAGCAAAATAAACAATGCAATTGAGAATACTAAAGGCACGCTTCATTGAGTACTATCAAGTATTCAGATATGTATGTACATATGTATATACCATATATATAGTACATATGTATCTATTTACCAAAGATATGTTCAAGTATTTACTTATTTACATTCAGAATCGCAGCTGTTTATTCTGTCTTTTATACTTGTACAGTATGACAAATTCTACGAAATCGTCTCGCCGAACTTATTATTATTATGTATGTATTTTTTTTTGGCAATGTCTCTTTTTCTTGTTGTTGTTTTTTGTCTTCCCACAAGGAAATGCCTTCATTTATCCAATTTACATATACTTTACATAAATAAGCATTTATTTGTTTTGCCATCAATATGTTAGCTTTGCGTTTGGATTTTTTCCACGGGAACAGGAAAATGTTTATTGCAAATAACAAAAGGTACACTGAAATCTTTTTGACTGGAAAATTAAAGAAATCGGCTGCATTTTGTGTGTCGAGACCATGGCTAATTAAAAGAAGAAGAAATTAAAATAGGGAGCAGTATCTTTTACAATACTTATTAGCACAAAGGCATTAAAGAGTGTTGAGTGTACTTGTTAAGAACTGAAGCTGCGGATAAATTTATGAGCAAAAGTTTAACTTTGATGATAATATATTTCACCGTACTTTAGTTAAAGTATTGGAGACCCTAATTCATGCCCCCGTTTCGAACCCCCACGATCTAGATAACATTGTATTGACGTCAGTGTGAGGCTCCAAAAATCAACATTATCGATTTATGGGCATGGATCAAAATATAAGCATTTATGTCCTGTGCGATTTTATCTTATCGGCGGTGCTTTAGCTGTTTATTAAACGTACTCTACACACACACTGTATAGTATGTGTATATAGTTGTTGACTCAGCAACTGAATCAGTCAAGCATATGTGTTAATGAGCAGTGTTTATTGTCATTCTGCCATCACATACCTCCTTGTAGCGCTTGGATAAGCTGCGACAGATGCGCTTGTAGAATGGCGCCATTTCGATTTGTGTTCACTGCTCTCCTAATAGTGTCAGGATGATGTCAACGCTTCTAATTTTTTCACAGTTTCAAGTTCCTTAACTTTTATTATCAGTAATTTAGCTATGAATTGAAGGCGTTGCGAAGTCTAAAGAGCACTTTACATGTCGATAACGTTTCAGACATATACGAGTACGAGTGAGTTGTAAACAAAAACAAGTAGCGAAAATTTTGATTAATATTTTCACTTGCTCTAAGAGGTTGTTCTTTCTTTTATTACAAGTATTTGTATTTTCTTGTAGTATTTCAAATGGTTATTTGCGCAGTGATTATTTTCCGAGTGCTTGCGATGCTTTGCCGCGGATCGTAAACATTTGAATGAGCCGATCGGCGGCGTGCGAACCAATTTATAAACAGTCGGACGCAGACACTCGTATCTCTCAGTTAGAGCGTCCCACAACAAAAGCCACAATGAACAGATATACATACTCGTATACTCGTACTACAAAATATGCGTATAACAAGAGCTATCTGTGTATATACGGTTTTTTTTTATAGGGAGAGTCTTCTCTGGGAGCAACTATAAATGTGTAAGTGTGCGTGTGCGTGTGAAAATGGGTGGCAAACAGTGCGTATACGTACTTGTTGAACGACGATGGTGGCACGTGGCTGGGTGCAAACTGTAGCGGCTGCCTCCATCGGATTCGCGGTAACATTGATGGGCCCCCCGCTGCCCGGGCTATGCGTCATATGCAGATTGAGAGTGGATCCGTGTTTGGGCGGTATCTGTTCGAATTTGTTGGCAATATCGTCGAATTTGTGCAGTCCGGCAAGGGAGTGATCGTTGGGGGAGGAGGACTTTGGCTGCGGATAGAAAGCATCGGACTGTGGCACATATTGCTGATTCTCCCGTATGGTTGTATGTATGACTGAGTCGGGCCTTATCCGCTTCGAGTTCTTACGGGATGGCGGTCTTTGCTGCTGCTCCTGTTGCGACAATCGCGAATACTGTTGGAAAATGTCCACGGAGCGACTGGTGGGGGACACATTAAGCTTCCGCTCATAGACCGAACAGTTCTCCGTCTCATCCGAGTCGCTGCTGCTGGTCGTCGCTGAGCTGGGGTGCGTATTATTGATCGTGTCAACGGCAAAGCATTCCCGTTGTATGCGCTCGTAGTCCAGTGCCTCACGATCGAAGGGAAACATGGTGCCTGTGCCAGCTGAGTCTCGCAAACACCGTTCGCTGCTGCCGCTGGAGGAGCTTGAGGAGTATTTGCGCTGCTGCTGCTGCTGCTGCTGTTGCTGATGCTGAGTGTATGTGGCATTGCAGCTGGGAGACAGCTGTTGAGGTGTCTGCTTTGATTTCTGTTGCTGCTTGGACGGCACACTGGAGCTATTAAAGAAGTTGCCATCCTTCATCGTTGGCGGCGCCGAATTGACTTTGGAAATGGCACCCGTGGAGGCAGCGGGCGTGCGTTTTCGTTCGCGCTTAGGGCTGGACCGATTACTGCTCGACGGCGAGACGCTGGGTGAGATGCGATTACGCGTCCCTGCATTGGCATTGGGTTCACGTGCACGTAGTTTTTTGTTGCGGTTGCCAGAGTTGCGTTTGTCCTCGGCCTCCTCCTCACCCTCGCTGGTGGCTGCGCCTTCGGCCGGATCCGTATAGTAGGAGCTATGATGATAGTTATTGCCGGTGGTTGCGGCAGCACCGTTTCGTGCTTGCGTCGCCTGCTGCGATGAAGGGAGCTGCTTGGTGGTCGTGCCCTTGAATGTGAAGTGTTCTCGTGCCTTCTCGCTGGCACGTGCTGACTTGGGCGACTGGGGCGGATCGAATGTGAAGTGGTTGAGGGAGCGCGTTGGTGGCGGCGCCGTGCTGGGCTGACGGCGCAGCAATGGCGTGGTGGATGATGGCTCGCCAGTGAGTATGGATAGGCATGATTCTTGACTCTAAGAAGCACATAGGCGACGGACAATGAAAGAGAACGCATGTCGGAATAGTTAACTAAGGCCAGACACTGGGCAAACACTCGTTCACCCAAATTAACGCAAAAGCAAATGCGCAGCAATTAATCAGTTCCGTTGTGTGGAATGACATACTTACCTCAGTGCTGTCTTGCAGACTCATGTCTGGACGCGGCGGAAAACGCGAACAACTCGTTAGTTCCAGCTCAGTGCCAATACTTCCATGCTCCTGTTCCGAATCTATTTGAATGGCCGTCAACAGAGGCTCCTCCAGCGAGCTAAACAGCGGTTCACTGGGACCCGAGTTGTCGCCTGGCGGCATTTGCGTTGCATAAATAAATGGGCGGTAGATTGATTAGTGAAATTGAACTAAGTGTAGGGCGGGCAGCAGCCGTGGGCTCATTAATCAATCAATACATTGATTTAATGAGTACAAGCAAGGTAGCAAACGAAAGTCCACTTACATAAATCCAGCGAATCGCAGGTCTCCGAGGTGTCTGTATGCGTCACATTGGTGATGAGCGTGCAGGCAGAATCTGTGGACGTGTTGATGGTACCGTCCGGTATCGAGGCGGACGAGGTGCCCATTATAACCAACTGTGCATGAAAATGAGAAACAGACACATAAACAATGTGTTATAATTAGTTGGCATTATAGTCGCTCATAATCAGTTGCTATTTATTAATATATGTATATAACATATAGCTCTCTAAGGTAGACCAAGAGTGAACCATGAGTAGCTGCTCCTCCGTCAATGGAAGACTAAAACTACATAAGGTCCAAGGCATATCTTGGGGTAATACGGTTCTCTTGCGTCTCCTGGTCGCATCTGATAAAACAGCATTCGGAAATGAAGCGCCATCACAACAAGAAACTTTCCGACGACATGTAATCTAGACTGTAATAGTAGGTAGATGAAATAACCACAGGGCATCACATTTGCGATGGTCCAGTCTTCATCTGGAGTGTGAGGAAGCCTGCTCTTCTAAAGAGTAGGAGGAACCAGTCTTGTACCTGAAACACGCACCTAATGAGACTCCCTCCTTAAATAACAATAAATTTGGCCTGCTTTACCTGACGATTAACAATCATAGACTAGAATTCCACAGTATTTAAATCACTCACCTTGGGAACGCCCACCGAATGCATAAACGTTTGCGGCTGCTGTTGTTGGGGGGGCGGTAGTGAGGGGGCGGGCAGCGAGCTTACAGATGCATTGATTTTATTCTTGATGCTGCGACCGCTCTTGAAGTACAGGCGACGGAGAGCTGTGGCCGTGGACGAGGTGGAAGTGTTGAAACCATCATTATCCGAGCCACTGGAGTTGCTGCCGCCGGACATCGCGCCATTCATCTGGGGCGTCGGCGGCTTGGTGTGGCCTGTGGCGGAAGCATTAGGATCGGTCTTTGTAGTAGAAGTTGTGGTAGCAGGTAGCTTAGTAGAAGCTGTAGACACGCCTGCCGACGAAGTTAGAGCATGGGTTACGGATCGAGTGCTAGTAGTATTAGTAGTGGTAGAAGGGGAAGTATCGGCCTGCCGCAGTGGCGAAGGAGCACGAGTGTTCTGGGCATTCTTCTTGTTCTGGCCTCCATTGGTAGGTGGTTCCTTTTGGCCCAGTGCGAGCGCCATCATGGCTGCGGATCGCGTGCTTGTATAGGAGATTGGCGTTGCGTGCGATTTTCTGCTCACAACGTTGCTGCCTTGTGCTGCATGGGTAACGGAAATCGTCATGGCTATAAGGAGAAATAAATTGTGAAACAAACGGGTCTCCATTAGCATAGTCGCAAGTGCTTCTAAATTGCTGCCCCGTAGCGTAACTCTGCCTGAGGCCGTTCTGCTTAATGCACAAACATTGTACATATTTGCCTAATTAACAGTAGCGGGCTGTGTTCGAAGTGTGGTTTTGGGCTAAGGCCCAAACATTACCCCAACATGGGCAGTTTCTGGTCATTGTACTAATTGGCAGTGGTTTGTGGCTGAGTGTCAAAATCGGCATAACATGACGCGAGCATTTTGCTTGCGGTTTTGGTCATAGGTTGTGACCTTTGTGGTTATTCGAACCCTGCACACTTATGAGGTCAATCATTTTGTGTTAAACGCCTACTTATAAATCGATAAAATTATAATCTGATACCCACTGAATAATCATTTTTTAAATGCCTTGTCGGCAGAACATAAAACATTAGATGTTATTGTTTGTGAGGTGCTTTCCCGATTGGAGCGGAAGCGGCACTCTCCTGTTGATTCTTTGGCATGCAACCAAAACAAATTTCATGAAAAGTAAATTCAGTCAACCACTGAAAACAGACACACTCGTATACTTAGTAATCGAATTGAATGAATTATTGATCAACACATGACGCGTCGGCCATTTCGTGGCATCGTCTAACCTTTGTCTGACTACGCGTACCACGGAATCCACCATATACTTATTTTCCATGGAATTCCCCAATAGTTTCCCCCAAATTAAAGTCCATATAAGTTATTCGGGGCATTTAATAACAAAAATAGCCAGTGAGCCGCACCAAAATACTCGTACATGGCGCTTCTCCGTAATCGCATTTTTATAAATAATAAACAGCATCGAGAAATCTGAGCACTGAAAACATCAAAATATTTACATCGAAAACTATGCGCGGTCGTTATGCCAATTCCCCGACCAATATACTGTTCTAGTTATTGTCCAAACATTACAGGAATCAACAATTTAATGAGTCAAGGCGCTAAGTGAAAAAAACCAGCACGTAAATATGGCCAAAACACGGACAACTTCTGGCTTTTTAGCTGTTGTCAGGCAACCAGCCATCTTTAAGGCGCTTTTGGCCCTACCTATGACCTAATATTGATCAGTATTGGCGGATGTAGCGACAGAAAAGCGGATGCATCATTTTTAAGAGCTTTGATTTACTTTGCTTTAATTATCGTTTGGACAAACTTGTGTTTGATTTTATGGACCATACCTTTCCCACGACCTTTAGGAGTTGTTGGTGCTCCTGTCGCTGCCGGTGGAGCGGCTGCTACAGAGGGCGCAGTTGTTATTGGAGCCGTCGCATTGGACACTGGGCTTGCTTCGCGAAAAATAGGAGAGCCGGGTACATAGCGCTCAGGCTGCAATTAGAAGAGAAAGACAGGAGAATTACATTAAGCATTAAATGTGCCATTTATAACTATTTAAACAATGCCATGTGTGAGCAAACAAATGATGGGCCAGTCCTTCTTGCACTACTTGATAAATGACTCTTATCAGCTTGCTTTTCTGATAAGATATACCATCGACTAGCGCTGTCTTTTTGTCTACTAGACATGCCAGTAGTCGATCAGCTTGCCAATCAGTCATTCATTTCAGTGCAAAATAATATTTCATCAAGTGTAAAAAAGTCTTGCGGCCCATTCGCTTTTCGTCTAATTGTCAACACAAAATCAATATTGTGGCTATATACGCATTGACATGGTGCTGCGAAATCTGTCGAAATCCACTCAGCTCATCATATTCTATGCGGTCTTGGGTGTCTTGTCGTCAGCTGCATTGACGAATGGTTTGTATTGTTTTCAGAAGAAGAAGTGTGTATGACGAAACTATAGCCATAAATAATTGGGCTACTGCTCATATAAATAATCAAAATTTTCCCATGCAACACGTACATACAACTAAGTTCGTGTATACTTGTATAAGTCGCTTTGTCTTCATCATCATATAATTTGAAAATATTTCTTTTAAGTTCGTGTGAAAATCAGGTGGATCGGAAACGTTTTTGGCACGCTCGCTCGGTCATGTAGTCCTCCACTTTATTCCAAGAACTTTGTTGCTTTGCGCGCTTTTGTTTGTTTTGATTTTTTCTATCTAACCATTACACATATACATACGAGTATGTACCTATATATAAATATATATATGTTCTTGGGAACAACTGCCGACGTCATTCGGCTGTGGCCGCATTAAAATTAATTCATTTCTTCAAATTGATGATACAAATCAATTCTCAAAGAAGTGAGTGAATAATTTTTGTAGAAATATGAACTGTGCACTGTGAGGCTAAAAAACCCAGAAATTACAAATTCAAATTAACGTTAAGTAATTCAGTTAACATTAAAGATGTACAATTCTCATTTTTAAGAAGAAAACAAGTTTTGATTACAAAAACAAAAAATAATAATAGCTTTTACATAGAGTGTTTGTTCGAAGAAAACTGCGTAAATAATTTCGATACATAATCAAGATTTATTTTACGACTTTTTTTTCAAAGTAAAAAATAACTTTAGTTATGTAAATAACGCGTATAGAACTGGGTGCTTGTAAAAGCTTCTTACATTTTTTGAAAATGAAAATTTTAAGCTAAGTATTAAGTATGCGTATATACTATACATGTATATTACAGATAGTTGCGTTATCGGAAGCATATTTCAAAAGGCCAAAAATTCTATTAATCGAGAATAATGAATGAATCTTTTCGATATTTTGTACCCCTAATACAATCCCACTAAGTTATAGCCCACAGTATTAGCAAGAATTAATGAGTTAAGTTTCTTTTTAAAATGACAATAGCTAGATGTGTGAAGATTTGAATGAATTCATGCGGAGAAACTATTGCGAATATTTAAAAATACGTGTTGGCAACTTTTTCAGTAATTTTATGGTCAGCATTGTTAGCATTTATAGATTGGAGAAGTCGCAGCTGTGGCAGCTGTGGCAGTTGTCGGCTCATGAGCTTTATTTGAATGGATCGGAATCGAAGAGATCTTGCAGTTCTGAGGCTAAGTGCCCGGCGGTTTCAATGTTTTTCGAGCTATTTTTATGAAGTCTCGTGTCATTAATTCGTTTACACATTTGCTGGGCATTGGGAAAGTGAAAACCGTGTTGTTGGCTTGCTTCGCTGTCTATGTCTGCTCGTATTGACGTCATAGTTATTACACACAATGCGTTCAGAAACATACGTGTCGAGGACATAGTCGTGCCAGTTGGCAAATAGACAGAGAGTCTGCTGCCAACATTTTCACTTTAATTAAATTAATTTAGACAAAAAATTGTATTTTTATAGATTTTATGTTTGTTGATGCTGCCGCTGTTGTAGTTGTTGTTATTATTGTTGCTGTTGGTTTGATGTTTGTATGGCCTATAAATAAATTCTAAGAAAAGCACAACGACACATCATCAGCGACAGCACAAACAGCTCTAACAACACTTGCAACAACAACAACAACAACAGCAATGAAATGAAAGCGAAAAGCAACGTCATGACCTCGTTTAATATTTGAGCACATACATATGTACATATGCATGTACATAAGTATAATAATATATGTACATATTTAGTATGTGTTTGTCTATTATATATGTTATAAAAACTTGAATGTGTCCTGCTTTCTTGTTATGATTTGTAGCGCTCAACTGTTACGCCTGCAGCTATTTGGAGGAGTACAGTGACACCTCCTGCCTCACGAACGCCTCCTCGTTGCCCCCCATCAACTGTACCAAAAGATATTGCCTCACCGTGCGACAGGAAGCGCTCGTAAGTTGAAATTCTTCGCAGTTGTAATGTTCCTCTCAAATTGAAAACTGCAAGCAATGGCTGTAAAATGGCACGACGTGTCGTTAATGCCAAGAGCCACAAACGCAAACTGCTCAAGGTACGAGGGTTTACATACACATATGTATACTTGTATATATGTATAACGTGTGTATGTAATGGATGTTGAGCACATACACACAACTTTGTTGTGACGTTTGCTCAACATCAGGATTTGGTTTGGATTGCTGACACTTTGCTGTCGCTTAACTCTTCACGGACACGCTCAGCCTCCTTATAAGCTGCCTCTGCACAGCAACAAAGTAACAGATGGATTTTTATGCAGCACCAGCTTGGCAACTGAATGTTGCAGCACGTGCACCAATTTTCGACAAAATATGGCAGAAATAGTGTGGGGAATTGTGAGAAAATTAGTGCAACTTTTGCGCTTTGAAGTACATACATAAGTAGGGTGGGGATGTAATTCATTCCGATATACATATGTACATGCTGGCATTTATTGAAGAACAGATAACTATTTCGGATGAAAGCCGCTTCCGGAAGAATCAAGTTTCAAGTGCAGTTCCTGCATTTCTCCCGGAAATGTACGCTAAATATCAACTTAGAAATTTTCATAGAAATGTTTAGAACAATCAAACAATATTTTTTATATTTTTTCAAAATTAACGAAACTAAATCAGGTTTTAAAAAATTCCTTGTTATTTCTTTATTTATTACTATTACAAGCAAGGATTTATTTTTAAATATTTCTCCACCTGCTATTTTCCCAATTTACTTTGCCAATTAATCAAAAGTAACCAAACCAAAATACATTACACTTTTAAAAAGCCTCAAAAATTCCAATTAAAGCCCCTTAACTACACTTTAATATATCGTGACAAATGCATACACAAATCCTGTTTTGTGTTTATTGAAGTTTGAAAAAAGAAAAATAAAAAAGTATTAGTTTGTGATTGAGCTGCAGCTTGCAGCAAAAGCTTTGTGTATTTAAATTTAAGCTCCTTGAGATTTGGGGACGGACCGCGAAGTATTCTATTTGGCACGGCAAGCGGCTGGCACTTAACTCCTACTCTTTTATGCAAAATTCAAATTTTTGTCAATTTCTGTTGACTTTCGGGCTTTTGTACTTTAAGTTGAATACCAGCAGTCGGGACAACAAATTGTCGCTGGCGAACAGACAAGCGACAAAGTGCATAAAAAATCCATTACCATAATTTAATGAAAAGCCAGGAAGGCGTAAAAAAGTCACACCAGCCACACAATGCGAGTAGGCACGCATAGGCGCACACGCACGCTCCCTCAAACATGTATGTATGTACATTTCTATGTATGTAGTATGTACATACATAGTTACTGTCTAAATGGGGGAAGGGGGTTGATGGAACTGCACAAGTTCAAAAGAAGGCTTATCCCCTGCACACAAAGCCGTTAACCACAATAAATTTGATCCAACTGCGAGGTCGGAAAAGACTGCAAGCTCCCCTTTATGACAGCAAATCAAAATAATAAATATTTGCAGAGTCTTTTCATAGCACGAGTAGTACGAATATGGGTGGTGCTTTTAAACTTAATTAAAAGAAATTAGATTTAGTGGTAGGCTAAAATCTGTTCTTTACAGAATTGTAAGGTAGTTGAGAAAATCGTCGCAGTAGGGGGCCTGGCTACAACGTTCAAGTGCCGTCATCCCGACTCTTAATTACTCTGCATCCACAGCTACCTATAAAAGGCCTTGTAGCACAAACAATTCCATAGTAATAATGCACCAATTTTTATGAAACCAATTTAAAGTGTTTTAAGACCTCTACGTATGGACAAATCTATTACCAAGTTACATATAGATAACTGTTAAGCTTAAGATCTTATTGATTTAAGTACATGCGGGATGGACGAATATATCTATATGGATTCTTTCACGCTTACATACATAAATACTTTTTACTATACCCTACTATATTTCTATTCTATTCGATTCTATTCTTCTAAAGAGTACAGAAAAAACTGGCTATTTTCGAAAAATAAGGTTAAATTTCTACCACCAGGTCGTGCGGGTGTGAAAAGAATCGGTGTTGAAAAACGGGGCACTCGGGGCACTCACAGTTGAGCCGAAAATTATGCAAATGCCCCGCGCAAATAGTGCAAATATTAGCGGCCATAAATTAGTTTTGCCTTCGGCGCACAACAGCATTTTATAATAATGACATTTCCAGGCAGTGTTCTGGGCTCTCAGCGGGAGGGCGGACTATAAATGCAAACAGCATGAAAACAAAGCCAACAAGCATTAAAATACATGAGCATTAACAATATTTAAAGAACCAACTGTGCTGGGCCTGTAGACGCAGCTCTTTTTTAAATTAAATTTAAAATTTACTTTTTTTAATATTTCCTTTTTTTGTTCTTTATGTTTACATTTCCCTGCGACGCCAGCACAATGCCAGCAAAGTTATTTCCTTTTTACGTGACTGTCAGGACAAACCTCTGGTAAGACCCAAGAGTCTCAGCCGCTTGTAGCAATCGCTTTAAGCACATTGAGTTACAGCTGCAAGCCCTGAACCCCCTTCCCGCCTTTCATCGTCTTCTTCCCCGCAGATATTAAACGGCGTTAGGACAGATGCTTCGTCCCGCTTCTACTATCGTTCCTGCCAGCAGGACTTGTGCAACGACCATGACGGACGCGGCAACAGCTCCGGTGGCGATGGCAGTGGCACTGGTGGCAATCATAATGGCATTGTGCCGGGAAAAAATGGAGGCGTCAGCCACAACCAAACGCGGATGACCTTGCTGCAGGCAGCGGGTATCATGCTCCTGTTGCTCGGCACTTGCAATTACAATTTTAATTAGTTAGTTGAAACTTATTTTTTGGGCAAATAAAATACTGTCAGCGGTTAATTAAAGAGCTTTTAACTACTAATTAGTGAGATTGCGGTTTCCTTTGACAACTGCCTACTACGCTGTCATCAAAGACGGTAATCGCATTATAAACTCCAATTTTAGACGTGTCTGCCTAAAGGGGACGCAGCATCCAACTAATTGTGTTGCCCACCGCAGCTAAAAGGCTTCTGCGTCCAAAATACTCGTAGGTACACAAACTATAATGCAATTTGCTAGTTATGTGAGTAAATCATTGTATTAAGATAGGAGCCAACATCGCAATGGACAGCAGCAGGCTATCCTAAAAAGATATTCACATATCTATTGAAATATTCATAGCAGAAATAGTTCAGTGTCTGTTGAAATCAGGAAGCGAGAAGCTAATAAGATGTACTATGAATGTGAGATGCAAATCGAATGTGAATTCAATATAGTAATTAAAATGTAGATATGGATGGATATTCCTGAAAGCCAAAATTGTCGTCACAGAAATTCAATATTTATTTATACAAGATTCCACATTCCTCATCATGACAAAAACACAACAATAATAACAATTTTATCAATGGCAAGTGAAGTATGTGCCACCTTCGTGTGTTTCGTCTGCGTGGCAATTAAATAATATTAAATATGCTTTAAAAGCGCACATAAATTCATGATAATGGCTCATTATTGTAGTGGTTTTCTAATGACTTGACGACATTTTTATAAAAGAACGCGAATGTGTCTTGCTGAAGATATAGACATGAACAGAAACATTCATTCGCGTATGAAAAAATAAAAAACAAATAAATAAAATAAACATAAATTAAAAGTTGTATGGAAGTCAAGTGCAAAAGTGCCATAAAATTGTTGAAAATAAACACAGAATGGGCGTAAACAAACACACAACAGCATCAGAACTTTTTGTGTGAGAAACCAAACATAATTAAAAGGCATTTCGATTCGGAAATAAATGAAAGTACGCACATCACAACCCTCAGAATTCAATGTCGAGTGTCTGCGCTTTAAGGGACACATTTGTTGTATTCTCAAGCCAATAATAGAATAACCCTCGTCAGCAGTGAAAAGGTTAAACAGTTTGGCGCCTTAACAAGCCTAATTGAGTCAAAAGAAGCCATTTTACTTGTATAATATTCGTGATTGTTTGCACTTCCAAGTAAATGCAACAATAACACTGAAAAGTTAATACGATGTGAACAGTCAGGAGCATATTTATGTCCTTACATTTCTGGGAAGTTGAGAAACAACAAAAGCCAATAAAACCTTACAAATCCCTACTTATAGTAAATAAAAAATTCTTCAAAAAGAGAAAACTACCACAACATTTTTGTATATACTGTGCACTTAAATTTCATTTCATTTCAAAGCACTTAATGTACAAATATATTCATACATTTTTTTAATCTTGTCACTTTGCTTTTTCTGGGGATAACAACTTCTCATAACTCGAGTACCTAGGTACGTGTGTGTGCTTCACAAATTGGTATGAAAAGAAAGTACAGAAATGTAAGTACGAGTATATATCCAACTGTGAAATTATATTAAATTTCATGCGTAAACAATTTTCATTTTCCAAATATTGACTCGAGCTGAAGGCAGGGGCACGTGCAGCATTTTGCGGACAACATTCCAGCGCCCAGTTGTGCGTTGTCCTCGTTTATGTTGCCACTCATGTGACGAGCTCTTGACAGAAGCTGCCGCAGCCAGAAGCCACAGCCCACAATTACAATGGCAATAAATAAAAAAAAATATGTACATACCTACTATATATGTATATGTATATTAAAAATAAAAGATGAAAATGGTTCACAAAATGGAGGTTGACCAAAACCGACATTGTCGTCCCGCGGCGTGCCTGTGGGACGTCTGCTGTCGGCGATTGCTTAAAAGGTGCACAGCATTGTACATTGTCTTGTTCTGGCTTGTTTTCGCAGGGCCACATTAAGACTGACAGTTGTTGGTGGCATCATTGTAAGCCACCACACGACACCGCAGCCTGGTGAGTCAGCAGCAGCAGCAGCAGCAGTAACAGCAGCCAGACTGGGTTGCCAGGGGAAGGGGTTTCCTACGTCAGACGACGGCTGCAGCAGAGTTTTTGCCAAGCTATTCAGTTAGTTGTCGTTTTGTGCTCTAAACGAAGGCTATTTACGTCGGCGCCGTCAATCCCATTTCCTGCTGAATGGAGTCAATGACTCGACTAGACCACGACTTGCATCTGCAATTACATTCACATTTACATTTACAAACAATAGTTGGCTATTGGCTTTACGATGTCGCGACTGGTACGAATCATTGAACTTGTGGACGATGATTTTTGCGACTGCAAGTCTTCGAATATACGAGTACATACTCGTACATGGAAGACGGGAGTAAAGTAATGGATAAGGCAACCGGAAACTTTTCAAATTTTCCGAGAGCATTTGTTTTCACTTTTTCTCCACCCCCGTCCACTTCCATGAATAAATACATTTTTTGTTGTTGGCTTATTTAGCAAAAGGAAAATAAAATGAGATGAGGAAAGAGAGCGCAAAGATAAAAGGGTATGAATACGGCATACAAATTGCACAATGCACGTGTTATAAATTTAAGCTGTAGCGAAAAAATTCATAATAAAATATAGAATTTTAAATGAGCCCCAATAACAGCAAAAAGAGCCGAAATGATAAAGCAAAGAAAAGCGGAACGGGAGCGTTGAGCCGTGTGATTTATGAGCTGGCAGCTAGCTGGTGAGCCAGCGAGCCAGCGAGCCCGCTGGGCCAGTCTGGTTGTCTGAAAAGTGGGCGGCGACGTGTTCGCATAAGAGGGCACGTCTCTTTTTCGATATCTTTCCATGCAGCTGCAAGCGCAATACGTGCGTGGGTGTATTTCTGGGCTAAGAGACCCGGAAGCAGCCGTTAAACCAAATAACCTTCAACTACATTAATATGTAAGCATATGACCATTATGGGAGTTATATGCATACCAACTTATAATGAATGATGTAGACCCAGTTTTAGTTTCTGCTGACCTTGTAATACATTTATTTTGTGGCTAGACCTTGCCCAAATTCGTTTTGTAAGGTGTGAAGGATTCATATTACTACGACTGGCTAGGTTAGTTCTATTCAGGGCCAACAATCTGTAACAATTGAGCATTACGTCAAAAAATCAATATAAATAGATGAATAATACTTTGACCGATTTCTTTTCAACAAAAAATAAAATTTAAAAAAAAACCCACAACGTCAGACATTTGTCGCTCAAATTAAGCGAAAAATGTTGGTTGACAAGCGGGCAGAGCGCCAGTGTGCATTAAATCTTGCGAAAGTCCACGAACACCTTTTAACGCACAGCGTCGCCGACCCCAGGGGGTGCTGTTGTCTGGATGGTTTATAGGGACAACAATTATGGCGGGCGCCACTGCAGTTTGTTGGCACAGACCACAAAGTAGTGACGTCAAACCCAAAAAGATCAAACTGGCGACTGTGTGTGTGTGTGTGTGTGGTCACCTTTGCATGAGGGGCACACTTCTGGGCTATTTTTGGGGCACGACAGTCAACCCCTATTGGTCATAGCGGAACTGCGTATGGGTGTGTAACATACATATGTGTGTGTGTGTGTGTGTGTGTTGCTTCCAGGAAATCTCTAGGATTTTGACTCACTTGACAGATAACCGAGAAACTCAGCATGGGGTTTGTAAACAAAGTCACTCAAGTTGCAAGAAGTTAATACGATTTATGGCTGCCAGAAAATTTGCTTGCAATGACAATACGAAATATTTTGGAATGCCAAATATGCCACAATATTGATGGAAGTCGATCCGGGGCTTTCAGCGAGCGCGTGGCAGCAAAATGCCAATCAATGAGCAGGCAGGCAGGGCGAGCTTTGTGTTCCCGACTTTATATCAGTAAATAATTCATATGCCTCGCCTCGCCAGATTAACAAAGATCAGGCAGCCTGTGTCTCTACACACACTCATACATATATCTATGTACGTATGTACATTCCTACATACATATGTACTGATGGTGATGTTGACAATCAATTAATTTTCCATCTTCTGTTGCACAGCATGAAACACAAAAGCCCATTAAAGCAAGTGTGGCTATTGTCGCAGTTGCTTTTAATGAACAAAATATATGTATGTACATATGTATAGATGCGAAATAAAACAATTGAGTGCCTTTAAGAAATCAATTTAAAAGTATGTACATCACAATTATGCCATAAGTTGGGGCAAGCAATTTGTGCCGTCATGCCAATGACGTCAGCAAATCATTTATAAAGCGCGTCATTTCCAAAGCGGGTTACAACACTTCACTCCAGTGGCAAAATGCGCACAAATTTTCCACTCAGCCACCATAGTCATATCTTTGTCAACACAAACGCAAAGTTCATTGACATGTCTATAAATTTTGTCGCCTTACGAATATGTACATACAAGTATGTATGTAAACGAGGCACGACGAAATTAGTTTTCACTTTCAACTTGCAGTGCAATTTTGTGTGCGATTGCACAAGTCGCACTGTTCGTTTTCGTCATTATTATAAATAAACCAGCCGGCCACTTGGAAATACATTTCGGATTTATTTTTGAACTTTTGCGCTAAAATTTTAATGATGTTGTGTGACAACGACGGCCACTGGCCGTAAATTCTCCATATCAAACGATCAGTTTTAATTGGGAACTTGCAATGCCCTATATACCAGGTAAGGATTGTGTGTCCCAGATAGAATCATAAATACCTATACATATATAAAAATATATACATACTTGTATATAATTGCAATTTTTTTTCCCTCAAACAGTCCGCATTTTTCGGTGTTTTAAAAGTAGCCAGAGAGATAGAAACCATCATACTCATAGGAACTTACGTTATTAAAAACACTTTCATATTCAATTTTCAATTCAAAAGTGTTGGGCCACAAGTATTGAAACACTTGTTTCAACCTGTTTCAAAAAGCCTGAAAAAAAGCCTTACGAATTAAATAATGTAAATAGCAAATTCTATTAACTAACGTTGATATCAAAAAATGTTTGAAGAAGTCTTAATTTCCATTTCAGATAAATGAAAACCAAGTTACAAGTATTAGTCATAAGCAAAGTAGGCTGATCAACATAACGAAATAAAAGGAATATAACATTAATTATTTAGTAACGAAAAAAATATTCGTCGCCTAGAAGATATACAATGTGTTGAATTTAAAATTTTTTATTATCGATTTGCGGAACATTGCCTATATGCGATATATTAAATATATATTATACCATATTATATATATATATCCATTCATTAATATTTCCTAATATAATGAACAAATGTTTAAGAGAATTAATTAAAATAATGACAACTGAATACAGAGTATCCACCAAATCGCTAATGCTGACATTAGTTTTCAGGTTGTTTTCATTTGATAACTTTGTAATTTGGAAATTTCCACTCATTTCGGGTCTTAATTGGCTTACATTGTTTTGCGAATGATTTATGGTGTGAACATTTTAGACTAGAAATTAGGTTGTAATTAAATGTACACCAATATAGCTGAAAACTTTAAATATAGGTCAACAAGCATCGGAATTAATTACGTTGATTTACTGCCAAAGCTATAAAACTACAAAAATAAAGTTCCCATCTTTGATTTTTAGAACAGTCCCAATGAGCGGGTCCTTGGCTTATTATAAGTATTATATATTCCAGCACTGACACTTGTGGGCAATATATAGACAGGGCACATTTAAAATATTGTCAACACATTTCTTTTTCCGCAATTGTTTTCAAAATTGAGCCAATTTGTTTCATTGTGACACCTTGAGCATGGAAAATGTATTTATTTTACAAGCAGGCTTCCTTGTTTTACTTACAAATGCAACAATTAGAAATGAGAAATACGTAGTAATTTACTGAATAGCCTTTGCGTACAAATAAAATGTATTTTTCTATGAGAAACAAGGTAAAAAGTCAATGCGCTCATTAGGCAATACGTACTCGTATACTTAAATGCAAATAAATCAAATTTAACGTGCAGCGCCCATTTGTCTCCACAGATATTAATAACCACAAAATAGCAATTGGCATAAACAATTAGAGGCATACTTGTGCGAACTTATAGTTTTCTCACACATTTCCCGCAGAAGTTCAGGGGCATTTCACTTTTCACGAAGTTTAATAAACCCAATTCGGTAAACAATGAAACTGAAGGAAAGTGGCCAAATGGTGCAAATGGCCAAAAGTTTTGTTTATGCGTTTGTTTTTGCCAAAGTAGCAATGACCAAATAAAAGTTTTCAAAGTGTCGTGTCGTGTCGTGCAACAGACGCGGCTAATTTCCATTGAGCAGTCTTTTCGGTTTGACACTTTTGCTTGTCGCTCATATAAGTACATGGTCGCATAACGTCCGGGTATATGTACATATGTACATACTTATAATAAGCAGACGACATACATACATATACATAGAACTATAGCCAAGCGATGGCAGCAATAAATGTTGCTGCAAAGCGACCATGAGTGTTGCCAATAGAAAGCAATTTGTCAATATGCCGCAACAGACCCCGGCGATGATGATGCCGCCAAAGGCTTTGCCAGGCAGGGGTCCACAACGAATAGGTTGGCTGGCAAGGTCGCTTCCACACACGGGCACACATAATTATAACATCTATAGTAGTACGTTCACAGCTAGTTGTAGCTGCAATGGTGTTTTGTTAGACATAACCTATGATTAATGTCTGATTGATGATAGTCTGCATGTCAATCATTGTGCCATTCGTGTTGGCAGCTTGAAAAGATAATATGACCGTCTGCATTGGAATACTTGTAGTGTCTCCACTCAGATGCTAAATCAGTCCTGGGACTTCAGCAAAATTACTCCAGCTCATTTTCTTTCTCTTCCGCCAATGTCCATGCAAGTGTGGACATTTTCTCAGGCTGTTATCTGTTATTGTTATTACAATTATTTTCTGTTATTAATCACCCTTAATATTGTATGTACAATCCATCCGACCTAGTCATGTTATTTACTGAAAATTAATTGCAATATTTTTTGCATTTTCGCCGATTTGTTAACTTTAAAGTGAAGTGAACTTTAAAATTAAATGTTTTGCATTTTTTTGTGGTCTTCAGTTTGTTTGTCATAATTAAAAAAATATCTTTATTTAATATCCAGTCCAGTGCAGTTTATTAACAAGTGAGAAATTTTTCACGAAACCGACTATCTGTTGAATTCTTAATTATATCAGCATTCATAATTTAAAATTATTTTCCTGTTATTAATCGCGGCTAGTTTTTCATATGCAATTATCTCAATTAATCAGTTAATTTATAAATATTGTTTTGCACACAAGATTCGCACCAATTTGTTGAATTGTATATACTTTTCATACGCTTAATTGAGTAGAGAAACGGAAAATTTAACTTTAAGCATAGCGAACTAAGCCGTTTAGGAAATTAGGGCACATTTCTTAGCAATTAAGTTGGCACGTCCGTGATCATTGACACATCCTTTTTCCTCAGCTGTCAGGCACTTTTCATTTGGTGTGCCAGTGCGAACAAAGTTGGTTGTCCGCGGTTTTAAGTCTCGTTCTCGTTTTAAGTGAATTAAAGTTAATTTCATTAAAGTGCACACTGTAAGTTCTAACAGATTTGAATATCGCAAGTAGCATTGTGGCAGATTTTAGTGTCTTTATGCCTATAATAAAATATATTTGGAATAAGTGACAAAATCATTGCAGAAAACTTGCAATTAAAATGCCAGTCGTTATTGGTTTATTTTATCATGATAACAAATATTTTAATATTGAAAATTGAAATTGTCTGAATGGGATGAGATGTCTATTCTAAAAAAGTGCCCATTTCTCTTCAGTAATGTTCATATACACACCGTAGCCAGAAAAGCCTCATCGAACATACAACATCTATGCATACAAGTATAACATACACACACATGTGTAGTTTGATGTACGGATTTTTTAAAGCCATTTTAGCTTAGTCATGCTTTAAAATGTTCTCAGCGATGGTAAAATTTTTGAGCCTAAAAGTATGCCGCTTATTAAGATTGCTAACGTTTTATAACACTTCTAATTGGTTTTGTCACTCAATTTGCCTTTCTCCACAGGCAAACGTCAGAGTAGGCGACGATTTGTCAAATTTTGACAGTTAAACAGTAGACTCAGTGTAGAGATAAGTCATTCTTTAGAAAATTGCCGCAGCGAGCAGAGCTCTTGAAAAGTATAAAACTAAAAAAATAAAAAATTAAATTCCTCTCTTTGAGTCGTTGTGTTTTCGTGCCAAGAAAATATTGTTTTCCGCATTGTGTGCACTCGCGTACACCTCTCAAAAATACAAACAAAAAAAAAAAAAACGGTAGTGTGATTTCAATACTTTTACTCAGAAACAAAAATCAAGAAACGTAGAAGTGAATCGCGAAAATGGTGACCGAATCGAAAACAGTTACCAAGACAACCACCAAAGAGGTGCAGTGCCAGCACACGGGATGTGACGAACCCAAACAGGATCCGCACACCCCGAAAAGTGGCCGTGTGGGCATTTTCAATGCGGAAGACTTCCTAACGCGTGCGCAAATGAATGACAAGATTAACAACATTTTGCGTTCGCCGACAAAGGCTCCGAATGGCGTGCGCCAACGTTCGGTCTTCACCAACAACAATCCATCGCCGGTAAGTGGACACACGTGCCAGCGATAATTTTTCTTCTTTTGCTCTCTCTCTCTCTTTCCCTCTCCGTCCTGCTCAAAAAAATACAAGTCAGCTTAGATGGAAAGAGAGTGCGAGAGAATTTAGAAGGCGTTTCTTCGTGTCATTCTTTCATTATTTTTATTACGTCATTGCCTTGCAGTACCGTGCTGTCATCTTTCGATGACACGTGTACGAATTTTTTCATCTGCTTTTGAGTTGAAAGAAAATGTCTTCATCTTTTATTATAAACGGAAACATTGAGGAGTATAATTTGCAATTCTTTGAATTTGGTTTGCTAATTTAAATTTAATTTACGGAACATGGAACATTTTTTCATTCAGCACAATAAGCATGTTGACATGACATGTTGTTGTTTTTTCTAGCAAGCGACTGTGCGCTGCTTGCCTACACTAGGTCCGCGCATGAGCAACCTGTCAATTGGCAGCTTGGAGCGTGGTAGCACCAGCAGCCTGACTAATAGCGCTAGTGTTGGCACCAATACCAATGTATTGGCCAAGGAGTGCTCGAGCCAGACTAACACCACCGGGCGCGCTTTTATGCCCATCGGCATGCACTTGCCGTCCTCGCATTCGCAGTATGGCGGACTGAATGCTGGGGGCGCTAGCTATGAGCCAGTTGGTCTGGCCCCGTGCAGCAGCAACATCTCGCGTGGCAGCAATGGACTAGGTGGCCGCTATCCGATGACTCCGGTGACTCCGTTTGCTTTCGAAAATGACAGCGCCTATTGCATGGTACGTTGCAAATTCGAAATGACAATTTCGAATGCTGTTTAAATGGTGTTCTCATTTAACAGTCCCAGACTCACCACACTCAACAATTTCCATCACCTATGCCGCCACCACCCTATGCTTTGGGGCGCGTAAGCTCGCGTACATTCGAGTTCGAGAACAATACACCACCGCCTTGCCCAGGATCAGGCCCCATTGCCATGTCCAATGGTACCATCCAACTGCGTTTGCGTGAGGGCGTACGGTACGTATACTATTGTTTTTTATTCTTATTTTACAGCACCAAGGCACCTTAAACAAGAAACGAAGAAAATTCCCCATAAGTAAGATGGTCTGTGAACACAATTATTTTAAAAAGTAGAACAGCAACATTAACCAACCTTGGTATCCGCTTAGATCGGATAACGATAAGGTCGTACATGCAAAAATTCTGTGTTACTTTACAAGTAGGCTATGAAGTAAAGTAAAGTGGTTTGTGGTAGCATACTGGCATACTTCGTTAAGTTTTTCTTAATGTCAATTAAAATGTCATGCTTTGTAATGAGTGAATGAATATTTGCCTATTTCACCGTGCCTTAAGTTTTCTTTTTTTAAAGCAGCGTGTAAACAAATCCGACGAATACTCTAACAGTCACTGTATGTTTTATTTTGCAAAAAAAAAACTTCTTTTTTAAATGATCGTTGACAGCTTGTATTTATGTTGATTTAATAAGGTTTTCAATTCTACAAAATATTTATAAATATTTTGGGAGCACGTCATGATGCACAGCTTAAAAATTTACGTTGCTACTAAGGTAGTAGCAGGTGAGTAGGGCAGTACAGGTTCCCATCTCATCTTTATTTATTTGCGCTCATCACATTACTTGATTTGGCTTCTTGAATTCGGCAACTTTTCAGTCTGCCCATTTTTTCAACAATATTTGTAATACAAAACAATTTTCTTTAACAATTTCATGTATTTTTTTGTAGTATTGACATGACCTTGGACAAGGCCGTACGCGTTCTAAATCAGCGCAGCATGGTGGCTGTGGCATTATCGCGCAACTGCAGCAACTCTGCCCTGATCCACCCAAATGGCCGCATTCTGCAGAGCGGCTCCAAGGTGGAGATTGTAACATACGATGGCATGAAGACAAATAATTTCGTGTGAGTACCAATATGTAGTATCAGCAGTAAAACAATAGGGCCTTTCGGCTATTACAAAGAAATTGCAACAATCGAAAGCAGCAAATCGCAATATAACATTGCATTTCGCCATGTAGTTTGTTCAATACAGCAATGTTGTGTTCAGGCCGAAGCCTTGCAACACAATGTTGTTAACGAATTGCACAAAGCTCATCCAAAATTTCTAATTAAATTCCAACCGACTTTTAATGGGCTTGCAGGCGGTATGCCAAAATGTGGTATAAGGGAGTGAGTTTTACAAGTGAGTCGTGCGCTCTTATTTATCTGGTGGATACCGCTGGCACACGCACCACAACTGACAATTTCACTGATCTGACAAAGGACTATACTTTGGCAGTATTCTATGAGTGAGTAGACAATGGTTGAGCAGCGTTTATAGGCGCGGCCTTATGCCTTTTGCCTTTTGCCATTTGCCTTTTTTGAACAGCGACTCGCGCCACGGCCCTTCCTTTGTGCCGGATGCACATGAGGTAATTGCCAATTCCTCGTATACTTGCGCTGAGGATGGAACTGAGGTGTATGACATCAATGGTTTTCGTATAACTCAAGCCGCCGATGGGCTGGTAAAGCTAACTCGCCAGCACAACAAGTGCCTTATTCGCACTAGTCCTGGCAATGGATCCGCCACTCTAACTACGCCCGGAATCCACTGCACTGCCTCGCTGGGCAAGACTTCCCATCTATTTGTGCGGTAAGTTGTATTTACACATCGCCTTCCCCCACCTGCACACTACCCAGTGCTACCATTGCATGCAAATTGAAAACGCTTTGTCTTTGTCCTTATCTCATCCTTTTCATGCAGCCGTAATGAGAAGCGCATGCATTTCGATGGCTCTTGCTTCATTGTACGTAATGCTGGCCACTCGGCTGGTTTTAATGAGAATAATCTCCTGATTGTCTACTAAATCAAGCAATACCCTCACACACAAACAAACACATTCACACACAATTTCATTACAAACACATACACACTAACACCAATCTCAGTGTAGTGTACGAGGAGTCGTTGCGTCGAGTTATGCAGCGTGGAGAGGGATAGGAACATTAAATTAAAAATTAAAACAAAAAAAAATTATATAAAATAATAATTACATATAAGGCTCATAAAAAAGGCGCGAGCAACGACGGCATCTAATAACCTCAGTCGATTTTTCACACAAAAACCCATTAAGGATAGTTCCGTGAAACAATTGTAAGCTGCTCGTTACTTGGCGTATGCGCAATGCAACTATTGAAGAATAAGTCTTTTACTATCTTTTTTTTCCAAACGCTACAGTTAATCGTAGTAGTAGTAAGTTAGGGTGTCAGTCCACATCGCTGCCTACTACTTGAAACGCTGGCCTATACAGCCAACTGCCCTGAACGAACAGTGCCAGCGTTTGGTTTTTCCTATATATTTCGGCTTAGCAAAAGTGTTCATCTTATTTTGGCATAAAATAAATTATTTCAAAATTCGTCAATATGGCACAAAAATGTTTTTATAAAAAAAATCATACCTATATGAAAAAACAAAAAAAAAAAAAAAAATGAATATAAGTTGATTCAAAATTAAGCACAAAGGTGTTACGAGATCACGTTTTTTGCGGCAGGAAAAGTGTGTTCAACAGCTAGTAGGCAGCGTCTTAGTGAGTGGCCGCGGTTTATTTATCGAGGAAAGGATATAAGTCATGTGTATATTATTCCTCTGACACATCACACACAGCTGTACCGCAGGGCCGATTACAGTTATAGTTCTAAGTTACAGTTGAGGTTAGTTTTTCACGTATTTGCAATCCAAGCATGTTCATCCACCTAAAACACGAACGTGAAAGTGAAATATGTCGAAAGTTTACAAACCCAAAATTTGTAGTTAATTAAGTTTTCACACACAATTGCAACCTTTATATAGATATATACGAGTACATGTATATTATTTATATAAATAGAAAATCACCTCAGCCATGGTGGGACTTTAAAAGTGAGAAATGCACAAAACAACATCATTCAAATACAAAAGTTTAAGATACTAACACACACCTACAGAACACACCATCTCCACACAGAGCACACAAACGACACAACACAGCATAATTAACATAAAACTCGTTATGGCACAACACATTATGAACACTTGAAAAAATGCAAACCGAGCGACGAGTGAAGCATATTTCAATAAAAAACAGCCTTATTTCAATCTCCAACATCAAAATTCTCAAACATGTAAAACGAAATTTATGTATTATCGGCTGTGAAACTGCAAATAAATGGATGATATTTAACAAAATGTATGATTGCCTTTTCTTATCCGCAAACTAGTGGAATGGAGCCTTCCACTATGTGTGGAGATGCCAAAAGCGACTTATTTTTAGGGGAATGTATGTGTTACACGCATTCAAGGACACCTTTTCCTGCCTACTACTACAATAGCCCGATTATTTAACCGTGGTAAACAACTCAATAACACCTGTGCGCCAATTCAAGTGAAAGAAGTTAGGCATTTTATTATCGTGGTATACTGCTCTTTGGTGTAAGCAAGTCCTCTGTCCCCAGTAAGGAAAATCTATGTTTAAGTCGGTCCAGAATAGATGAGGGCGTATATTAGGGATGGTGGCAGCGAGTACTAAATTAACGTCAAAGCGGTTTTATGACACACAGCACACAGCCAACTACTACGAGTATAGGACCGGACCCACACTGGCGCTTTCTTGTTACATATACAAACATTTTTGGATACCTAAGTAATAAATTGTGCATGAGGGGTGTAATTAACTTATACAACGGGTAGCCATAGTATAGCATTAAGTGTTCGACTCGTTAACAGGTTTTCGAAAGTTAGTCACAAACTCCGATTGCTTCTTGAAGGCGATAAATATCCCGCACCTAGAACATTACGTCATTAAACGTTGACGTGAAACGCTGGGCATGGATGTAGGCTGTTTTCGCAAATAAAACTACATAAAATAATTTAAGGTTAACTTTGAAATATCTCTACAAAAAGAAGTAATATCCAGCGCTGTGAGTGCCTCATGTTCTACTATTTGAGATTGTGCTGTATAGTATAAGTCGGTCATAATCTTAAGCAAAGATATTTTGTGGCATTGGAATAGGTTTAATAAGTAATGTTTGTTCGACCCATTTAACTAAGAATGTTAGTTTAGGTTCGGTTGGATTCTTCAAAACTGATTGAATAGCAGTTGTTGCTCAAAAAGTTCTGAATCAATGAAATATGCTCGAACATTGACTGCATTATATTTCGTTGCCTTATTATTGGAAAAGGGTCATTTAAATAGACTTCTAAGGTAAGTACATTATAAAATATAATCATTTTCAAATTAATTTTAGTATAATGATGTGTTATCCAAGAGCTATGTGAAATATTGATTACCTGTAAACATATCCAAAAACATAGAGAGATCGGATCGGCTGTCATACAGACCAAAGCTTCCACAATGCTTGGGGGTTGATGATGATGCTGTTGATTAATATTTGTTAGGTAGGGCAGTATCGACTAAAGTCACCACTGAGCTACCATCAATTACTGTCTCTGTCATAAGTAGAAAGTTTTCCATTGTTAGGCAAATGCAAATTAGCATAGACAAGCGCACCAACAATGAACGAAATAAACAAATCTACATACATATGTACATACGCACATACTTATGTACAAGTATATACATACATATGTATGTAATTCAACAACTAGACTGCGCACATATGACGGAACTACTTGTACTTGAGGCGAAAGCAAAGTGGCAGAGGCAAAGTGAGAGATGCAGATAGAAATTGAAAGCCAGGCCAGCAATGCAAAAGAAAACACCAACAACAACAACTACTTATATTACATAAAATGGTCGTGTTGTGTCATAGATATGGGATGGTGGCTTGTGTAGTGGCAGCTGTGAGTGTGCGAGAGCTGTTGTGCGTACATACTTGTAAGTATGTGTGTGTTGTATGTATACCTTATTATGGGCTACTAAGCCAAAATCGGCTGTTAGTTAATCCTGAGGGTCTTTATACAAAATTTCCGGTTTCTTTAATGCCACATCCAATGCTGGCATTGTCGAAAAAAATGTAATAAAGCAGAGCACATATTTGTGTATTAGAGGACTACATGAATGCATACAAAAGCCGCTTTTTGACACACTTGTATACAATTTTATTAGTAAGAATAGTTTTATGTATCAGTTTAAATAAAAGAGAACTTAGGTGGTCAATCTTTATTGAAATCCAATTGGATTGGAGCAAAAAATGTTCGCACCATTTGTGCGGTCCTGCCCTCGATATTTCGATACAAAACCCCTCACCTAACAAAGTTAATAACACTGGCCGCAACTTAGCTTAAGCTGCAGATTTTGTCTTCATAGAATGATTGAGGCAGGCTCTTGGATAAACCAGAGATGTCGTTATTCCCATACTTGCTGTCTGATGTTAAATGGCGTTTTTTCATTATACATTCACTTATTGGGTGTGGGCATTTGAAAGTAGGCACTATTTTTTTGTTGCCCTCATCATATAAACGCAAGTAAAAACCTGTTTGTTATACATATGTGCATATGTATGTACGTCCTTTTTCCCCACTTCGTATCGTTTAATTTCCTATGCCAGTTTTGTATTTATTTCTTCAACTTATTTAAATGAATGATTGCAATGCGCTCTCATTCAATCATTTCTGTATTTGACATTGAACTAGCAAGTTGGTAACTCTTTGATACAATGGTATCAGCATTTACACATTTTAATTTTAACAAAGTGAATCAATAGAATGGCCATTCCTTTTTGTCCCAAAGCAAACGCATGCCATACACTAATGCAGATCTTGAATACGTTCATATGCCATATTCATTCCTTACGCTTGCCTGCTCATCGCCATTGCGTTTGGCACACACGTGTACACAGAGGCAAACACAAACACATACACATATATGGAGAGAGTGAGTGAGAGAGGGTGGAGGGGGAGAGTCATTAGGGGCTTGACTGGTAGATGCCCAACATCAAACGCTTTCACACTTAATTGGGCGTAAAATTAAATCAGAATTGATTAAAACACTTGAATGACAACGAAAGGCGACGCCAACAAAAGCAAACCCAATAGCTAGCAACAGCAAAGGAAGGCCAATGGCAGTAACTTCGATGAGCCTACTGATGTGGATGAGGATGTTGACGATAGCAGAGCAGGGAGCATAAATAAACTTTTCAGATTGTAACTTCCAGCTGAGTCATCAGTCGCGTTTGTCATCATTCGTGAACTGCCTTCCCTTATCCTAGTCCTGCCAATTCTGACAACAACCCGAACGCTTTGAAAGGGGCACTCCTTTCAGTTACATACATACTATATATTCCCAGGCGTCTTCATTGGTCTGCCAAAGCCAAACACACTGCACTAATTGCTTGTCTTACTGGCTGGCTTGCGAAAAGAAAGTTCATAAAATTCAATTTCCTCCGAAGTCTCAGGAGTAAAACAGAATATGGGTAAAACTTTTTAATTACCATTTAACCGGCTGTTTCGACCCAAGTGCGCGCGTATTATTCGTATTCATTCAATTTTAATTCGCTTTCAGTGTTCGGCCATTACTCTGAAACTCTGAGTTCATTCATTTGCATACAGTGGCGGGGACGGCAGGAGAGCTGGAGCTGAAAATATGAGCAGTCGTCGCCATTGCAGCAGAAATAAATTTGCCTGGCCCTGAGATATATTAAGGCTCCTGCATCGTTAAGGGTACTGCACGCAAGCAAACTGGACACGACACCACGGTGCACACACCCACACGTACGTCACATTATTGGCCACACGCCGCAACATGCTGTAAAAATAATTTACGGGTCCGAAATGTGCGCATAAATCACTCGAACGCCAGACAGGTTGTGCGGGTCGACTAGGTAGGGCTCCCGATTCCGCTGAGCTGACATGTTTCAGTTAATAAGCTCGTTCAATTTGTATCTGTGTCTTGACATTAATGAGTCCCAGGGCTGCTGATGAACAAAGGGTTGACAAAAAGAGAATAACGGCATGAAATATATGTAAATACCAAGACATTGGATCTAATGAGCCCATTGAATTATTCACAATTAATTATTGGTATTCTTGAAACTGTGCTTTTGTTTTAAAAACATTCATCTGTTACAAATCTAAATCATAATTTGTTTCCAAATTTGTTAGCTCTTAATCACCTAAAGGAATACCAATGTAATGGATCAGTGTAGCAATATTAAATATTCTACAGGGGCATATATGTACAGTGTGTATAAGCTAATAAAAGGAGTTAAGAATTGATTACAATTTAATTATTTTGTCTTCATTAGCTTCGGCAGATTATTATTATTTTTATCTTAAACTGAAACATAAATTTTCTCCCCCAAGAAATCAAAGAAAAAGACAGTTAGTCCAACTGCATATCTGTTCAATAAAAACTGATCCGAGAATAATTTCCGTAGTTGAATATTGCTGAATCATATTATTTGGATTTGTTCTCAGATATATTCAGACGTTGCTAATTTGCCTCGAAATATCAAAGCAAATTAATAAATGCATCAATGTTTGCAAATTTATTCCATTATCTCGTTTAGGCCACTGAGCAGGGCAGAGTTTTTGAACCTTTTCTCAAGTTCCCATTTTTTATTTATTCACAACTAGGCATTTTTGCTGCATTCAGGGGGCAAGTATGCAAATGAAGTTGCCAGCAGCGTGTGCTTCCTTAAAACAAACGCCAACAATTAAATAAATCAAACAGAGTGTCATCTAGGCTGCCAATTCACCTGATGGCGCACGGGTTAACGAACGAGATCAAAGCAAGCTAACAACCCTTTCTGCAGCATCCATTTTTATGTTGACATTTTAGAAGGAAGTGCTTGAGCAGAAACAGGATATGCGGAGATGGAGAAGAGGACGGGGACCCAAATGTCGAAGTTAGACTTTTTGGCTGAATGTCGCTCTGTATATTGTTGCTTTTGACATATGCCACATGCCAGGAACAACCCGAAAAATCAAATTACATTTTGCGTGGTAGCAAACAATTTAAAAGGCAAACTCATACAGTGCCTCGTAGGTCTGTGACTGTGTCAGAGTGCCTGTTGAACCGATTGTCGTTGCTGTCACTTACAACGACCCCACAACCTTTCCCAATTCGGAGTCAGTTTAGCCGCACTAGGTGAAGTCGTACTTTACTTTGACAAAGTGGATATACAATTCAGCTCCTCAAGTAATCCACTTCACCACAAACATTGAAAACGGTGCCTGCCATCAACTTAATTACAACTCCGAGGAAATCAATTAAATTCGACACTAATCATATTTGCGATCTAATAATCATGCAGCGGCGACGGAAGTTAAACCAATTCATAGGCAACTAAGTGGAATGCTTATATCTTTAAACATTTCTTTAGCTCATAAAGTAATTTTAAAACTATATTTATGTTCGAAAATTTATAGTTTTGAATAAAATTATTAAATTCCAACAATATGTTCTGTTATAGTTATATTAGTTATATTGAGTATTTGAAAAATTCAACATTAAAATACAAAGTCTGCATTCGCTCGCAAACCTATTTGAATTTTCACAGCTCACCTTCATGTACCCTCAACATGAAAATATTTTCCTTTTCAATTTTTGCTGCATATGGATAATTAAGAAATAGGAGCACCGAAAATTCCTTCAACAATTTTTAGCTTTGCACTAAAATATAACAAAACAGTTGACTTTTTCGCAAAAGCCAGTTTCCAATACTTTAATACAGGGATCAAAAAACAGTCGAGGTTGAGGGATCAATGCAAAAATTAAGTATCTGTACAGAAAATATTTCGATTAATAAAGCTCCTCCCACTCTTTATGAAAACCAGCTGTGCTCGTCTTTATAGAAATGCTTAGTATTATATGCACGCATAACTGGTGGACTTATTTCATGCATCTATTAATAACGAAGAGCTTTAATTCAACCTTCTGTGTTTTTGTTTATTAATTTATTGAGTGTTTCTGCCTTTTAAACAAAATTTTATTTGCAGTTGTTGTTTTTAATTCCATTATTATTTGAAATTTCTTAGCACTTTGGCATAGACACACTTCGACATGCCAACAATAACTGCTTCTAACAACAGCAAGAGCTCTTGAATTGGTGCACACACTCATATAGCCGTTAAACAACCTTTTTATGTGCTTAATTAAACACTACCAGGGACCTGCCAACAACAGCAGTCCAAACACAATTAGGCCTAATGACAAATTGAGAGTCAAACGCAAGGATAACTACATCGACGGGACGAAGGGAAGGAGAAGGGGCAATGGCGACAAATAACAAATAATAATCCACTTGTCAGTGGGCACATAAATGCGATGCACTACGTAATGACTGGAATTACAAATTAGGCCAAATTAGTCTGGAGGCGAACAACAGTCTCGTTGGGCTACCAATGCCTGAAGTTGCTTGGCTTAGAATAATCTCACAATCGGCACTGTA